CGACCTTTGGCTTCTAGATCGGGCTTGGGCTCGGGCTTGGGCATGATTGGGCTGGGCTACGAGGTAGAAACTCGAGATGGTTCTGCCAGTAGTACAAGCACCTGTGTGGCCCAAAGTTGATAATTGATCGCGTAGAATCCAGACTATGACCGACCAGTGAACCATTGCCTCGGGGTCTACGTAGTGGACCGGACCCGGCGGCGTCTTTTGTCGGTGTGAGGTGCTTTGGCAGGGAAGATCAACGATTCGCTGCACGCAATCTGCAACGTGATGGTGTCGTTGTCAATATGTTTGCGCGGTGCTACGTCGATCTCACGAAAGTTCGTGTTTTCTGCTCGTCTCTGCTAAGCTGCGTATGCTAGTATGCTCCTTTGCTACTGGCCAAGGAACGCAACTGCGTTTTCGGTTTCTTGCCAAGATCTTGAACACCGCCAAGCCGATGGGACTCATGCTTGTCTTCGATGGGACCATTTTTTCTCCATTCCATCGGTAAAGAGGGGAAAGAACCGATGTGTCCCCGGCCTGAGGAAAGAGCGCCGTCGTTTTGTTCTATTCTTGTCCTTTGCCTTGGCGCAAATAATATCCCGAGATTCCACAGGTGGGATCCCGCCGATGATCCCGTCATCGACCTCCGTAGATTCATTTCGCTATTGCTCGCGTCGAGGCACTAAGCCCCGTGACCAACGTTAAGCGAGACCTGTCTCACACCGGCGATCGCCGGCGATTTGGACGGATGCGTGCTGGAGGCTCTTTGCGCAGATCTCCCGGTCCTGGTCATGCGTAGCAAAGCGCTGTCGTACAGGCAAGCCATCTGGAGATGGGGGAAGCAGTTCATGCAATAGCCCGCATCACGGGTACGACGGACCTCCCTACGGTTAGATAAAAGTAGGGGAGAAAAAAAAAAAAAAAAGTTTCTTTTACGAAAGAGTTTCCCTGCTGGACGAGCTGCAACCACCCACGCATGCAGCCTGGGAATGTCCGCTGCCGAGAGGCTGGAAACGATGAAAAGATGGCGCATGAGATTTTATTCTTTGATCTCTCACATCTGAGGCTGGGCGGTAACATAGGCGCTACCAGCCGCACTCATGACTCTCCTGACGACATAACCATCTGGTGCCCGGCGCATCATGTCCTGTCAAGCGCCGTCCTGTCTTTCTTTCCTTTTTTGCTTTTGTGGCCCTGACAGGACCCTTGATTTTGCTTTTTCTTTTCTCCCAACCTTCGGAGGCTAGTGGCGCCTCTCGTCTCTTCTCACCGCTGTTCCGTGTCTTTGGAATTTCCATCCGGGGGCGTCATCCCGCCATTCTCAATTTTTCTTCGTACGTCTATTGATGTCTATTGATGTCCAAATCCGGACTTTGGGGGTGTTAGTGCTGATCTTGTGGCCGAAAAGTCGGAGCTGTCAAAGGCGTCAGAATCAATATTATGTACGAAGGGACTCCGTTTTCTGCAACCGGCGTAAGACATAGTTCGCCGGACGACAGATGGCGTTTGCAATTTCCCCCGCTTCTTTTTGTCTTGTCCCTTCTTCTTTGACAAGCACGCGAACTCAACGTGGTTCGGGGGACATCAAAGAACAGGACTGCTATTTGCCACAACCTTGAAGACAGATCAAGGCTAGTTTATCAATCCATCGGTTGGCAGGAAAGACAGCATCATCAGTGACAGGAGACAGGACCCCGCAGATGACCACGCTGCTGGTAACTTTGCTGTCTAAAATCATCTGAGTCAATGGTGATGTCTTTTCCACTCCTTTCTGGTCCTCCGCTGCTCGCCCCGCTCTTGAAATCTTGACGCCACAGATCGATAGAGAAGACGGATTTGATCCGATGAAGTAAACACCAACATGATGACTGGACAAGCGGGGTGGAGGGGCAAAAAATAGTAGGAAAAATTCAAGAAATATTTCCTCTTGGCGAGGGATTCGGATCGCCATTGACTGATTCCCGGCTCGAGTGGAAAGCTGCCGAAACGCAACTCACCCTACCCTGCCCAGATCCCCCTGATGCTGGACCCGGAAAATAGAAAGGCAAAATACCATTTCAGTGAACGATTGTCGACTGGGGTAAATCTCAGATTTTGCCAGCGTATGGGGCTCTGGACTGCTAATGCCATCACACACCACCCAAGATGGGCTCTGGCTCGACATTGACCCAATGGACGATGTACTCCACAACCACCCCTACAATGAGAACATTCTCGATGCCTCGCAATATTTCGTAGTGACCCTGCCCGAGGGTCTAAACTATTGATCACTCTAATATGGACTGGGCTGAACTATCATGACGCTGTGACAGCGCGAGCGACCGCTGGCATTGCCCAACTCGAGGAGCAATCCCTGATGCTGACGAAGCATTGCCAGACTTTCAAGCACGATTTGTCCACTCCTTCGTATTTCGTACACGACTTTGGTAGTGGGGGTTTCAGGGACACTAGTGGATTTGGTATTAACAATGGAGCTTTCCACATCCCCGCCTCCGACTTCCCTAACGAAGTGGTCCCGCCAGCTCGAACATCTTGCAACTTCCTCAGTGTCACCGCGCACCAAGTTTGCGGCGGCACACAACGAACCGTCAGTTTCGGTCACTCCTTATTACTAATACTTCGGACAGGGAGACTGTAAATACCTCGGCACTTCGTATTGACCTCAGTACGAAGTGTACGAAGTCTGTAACCTGACAATTTCCAGCCTCGAGGCGAACCAGGGGGCACAAACATCAATGATTAATCCGTGATATTCGTACAGCAAACCTATCAATGATGCTTTGGTCTAATTCTCGAGTGCCTCATTCAAGGCAATTGGTCAGCCACTGACAAGGAACCTATTTGCTGATGACCAAACATTACTTCGACCTTGGGTGATTTTCTCATAAGCTTCGGCACCAATTGCCGCCATGTTACCATAATTTCTCTTTTTGAATAGACTTAATGCTGGATGCTGGCCTTGCCGTCAACAGTACACTAGTCGCTGGCGGTACTGAGGATGGGGCAGTGGTTGATCGTTGACGTCCGGTCTGTACCCGGACGTACCGCACTCGGCGACTCGTGCTTGCGAGCCATGATGTCGTGCCTTCAGTTCCGCTGCCAGTCTCCAAGTCCCATGTCCCATCCGATCCTTCCTCCACACTTTACACAAATTCATCCGCGTCGAATCCCAAATTAATCAAAGCCGTTCGTGCAGGCAAAAAGCATTTGTTCTGCCATTTCCCCACAACCACACACAAAGTGCATGCTGGACCCTTCTCCCCATAGCCACGTACCCCTAATCTATCTACGACAGTGGCATTCGCTGGGAAGGTCTAATTCATAGTGTCTACGAAGTAGTAATCGCTCAGTTGAGCCTTTCTGCCGAACCTGATTCTGAGACGAGCGCCTTCCACTATTCTCCACACGCCTGCGTGACTGCTGCAATGTTGCTCCTTGGTACTTGAGAAACGTCAAACTTGCACCCTGGCGCTGCGACGCTCCTGCTCAGCCAAATACCAAATACCAAATACGGTACAGTACAGAACGGTACTTTCTCCCACCCTCTTCATGTGCAAGCGCTACTCAGCGGTACCTAGGACTACCCGCCCCTCGTCTAACCTGTCCCCGACCAGGAACGGGGCCCGGGATAGCAGTTTGCTTTTAACCCTTCCCACCTATCCTGGCGCCGCTTCCTCTTTCTCCCCTCAGCCCACACTCCTACTGGTCCACATGGCATGGTACTCTTCGTACCCTCAGCACCTTGTTCACTCCCCCTGGCTCGATCGCTCTCCCCACTTTTTGAAGAGAAGAGCTTGCAGGACAGCTGGAGCTATTTAGATTGACGCCCCTCTGCGCAATTGTACCACCCCACCCCACCCTCTTTTCCCCACCCATTCCTTTTTTCCTTCTTTTCTCTACCCCCGGCTCAGTCAGGCTCTCAGGTGTTTAAGGTGCATGGTACCTGAATCCAGCACCATGAACCTCAGCTCGCTCAGACACCCCTGCCCTGATGGTGCCGGATGTACTCTTTGGGTACAACCCAGTACATATGGTACAAGTCCACCGCGGGCAAGGGCAAGTGTGAGGAAATGGGCAAGGGCAAGGTCAAGGGTAGGCGGAATACTTCGTACCGTACTCCGTACGGAGTATTGTTCCCAGCGGAGTGGAGTGATACGGTTCATCTGCTTTGGTGATGCCATTGATGATGGGTCTGACCTTCCCTAATTCCCATGCTGTACTTCGTACTTGTCGGATGTCGTCTCTCGTACTTCGTACCCCTAAGAGGAGGAAGGAGCATCGAAGTACTAGGTCGTAGCGCACTAGAATCTCGCGTCGGCGTCCCGGGCCTGTCCATTGTCCACATCAAAAGTGTGCAAGTGGTTCCGCGCTGTCTCCTCGACACGCCCCCTAACGCCCTACCACCCGAACAGGAGGCGAGCCCACATTTCAGTCCGTCCCCCCGTCCCAAATATTGCCGCTCTCTTAACGTGAAGCTCTGGCTCTCTCTCTGGCTGACATCCATGGTTCTGTGACCTGTCCCTGCTGTATCCTGATCTGCATGGAGACATCCCCAGGGCTGTGTTGTCCTTGCGCTCCTTGCACTCCTTCTACTCCTTTGCACTTGCACCACTTCGCTGTGCATACTCCGTAGCGTAGGTAGACACGAGCAGATTTGGGACCAGGGCGATTCGGTTGCATCCACTCTTTTCTTTTTCCCTTTTGGCCCTTGTCTCTCTCTCTCTCGTTTTGCTGCAACCGCACTTCCCAACCTTGTCTCGACTGCATTTCGCCAGTACTTCGTACATTCACTTTTTTTGCCTTTCTTTTTTTCAATTTACCCAGACCGCTCGCTTCCTGATTACCCCACGACACTCGCTCTTGCTCTTTGCTGTGCTGCCGTTCCATTCTTCCTTCGTTTCTGCACAAGCATGTTGTAACGCCGTTCGTTTTTTATTTTTCACCTTCTAATCGTTGTCCATAATCACCATCACCGAGGCACTTCTCGGGAGGGCTAGCTGCCCCGTGTCGAGGACATGGCTTCGTTCTTTCAACCGCCAGCGTCCGGCGACCCGGCCCTCGAGAACTGTGATACCTCCGGATTCGAGATCTATTGCAACAGTATCGTCAAGGCCGATCGCAGATTCAAGCACTGGTACCAGATCCTCGTGATAGCAGTCGCCGCTGCCGCCTTCTCCCTCCCCATCCTCTCCTGGGTGATAGAACGTATCCTCATATATCTCGACAACAGAAAGAGGCCCCAACCAAAGTAGGCAGCTCTGTTTCTTTTTATTCTTCTTCTAGCCCTTCTTCCCATGTCCTACGCCGCCAAGAGTGTGTCGCTCCTTGGCACATGGCACTTATATGCTGACTTTTTGGCAGGGTCGTCGATGATGTCGTACAACGCCGCGGAGACTCGCCGGGCCTACCCCTCCAAGACCACTTACCGAAACCGATCACTTCCTTCTGCTATGTGCAAGGCGAGGACGAGGTGCGGGCCCCCATCAATGAGCACGATCTTGCTCTGATCGAATGGACCGCCGCCAGCCGCGACGAGTCTGCTCCTTGGCGAAATCACACAAGCCAAGACAACCGTTCGGTCATGCCCCTGGTAAGGCTTGATGCTATCCTCGCCAAGGCCCCCGCCGAGAAGCAAGTCGCATCCGCTGCCCAGCACCTCGCGACCATCCACCTCGACTCTGGTGCAGCGTGCTTGGCTCTCCGAATCGATTCCTCCGTAACGCCCCAGACCGTCGACGATCTCGTTTGCGATCTCCTCCGCCTCAACGTCCCCGTCGTTCTCGTCGCCCCCTTCGAGCTTCCCAAGCTCAAGAACATCCCTCTCAGCCACGTCCTCGGCCTCATCATCGAGAGCGCCTTGATCCTCCCCAATGGCCACCGTCGAGACTACTTCAGCGCCGTGCCGCTGCGCAAGATCATTTCCACATGTACGAAGGAGCGGGAGTCGCGACCTGATTTCTTTGTCGGCTTCATGGACCTATGGGATGAGCGACCTACGGCCGCGGTTGTCAAGCGAGCTGAGAAGCTTGCGAAGCACTTTGGTGCCGTTTTCACCCACCGACCGAGGGAGCCAATGCAGCTCGGCGACATGAACCCTCCCGTCCCCGCCGTCACCATAAACGGTTTCGAGCACCTCCGCCGATGGGAGATTACCGAAACGCACAAGTCGTGGTGTCTCGATGATAACAAGCCCGTCTCGGTGCGGTCGACCGATGCACATGTTGCGAGACTTCCTCTCGCGGGCTTGAAGGAGCTGATCCCGGAAATTGACGAGTTGCTGAGACCCGAACCTCTCAACCCGACTCTGGCTGCAGTCGCCTGTGAGAAGCCGCCCCGCATTCTCCCTCCCAACTATGTCGACCTGGCGCCGAAGCGTACGAATATCTGGACCATGTCAAGCGGAATGGAGGAACTCTCTACCCAGGGCTGCTACCCGCTCACCTCGTCGCCCTCTCGCGAGCACTACGCCGCCGTAGTGGAGGAGCAGGTCCACCTCAAGACTCTTCGCCTTTTGCAGCCTGTCAAGGGTGATTCGATCCACCGTATTATCCAACAGGTTGGCGCTCTGATTGATCGTGGTTGCCGACGTAAACATCTCCTCGAGGGTCTTGTTGAGGGTTTGTCTCAGAGTAAGATTGGCATCTTCAAGGGCCTCGACAGCGGTTTCGGTACCCCCTCAGGAGACGGTTACTTTTGGGGTGTCTCACATGTTCGTAAGGGTTCTTCCGCCGAGTGCATCGATATTTTTGTCTCGCTCAAGGCTCCGAGCGATACTCCCACTGTTCTTCACACCTGGCTTGCGCACCATGGCGTGCCCCGCCTCGAGCGGTACATTATCGAATTGGACCTCGAGAGGGTGTGTGAGAATGATCCGTCTATTGAGATGCCGTCGAGTCTGGCTGTGTCGTTGGAGCGTGCGACAAATGCCGAATTGCTCTTCTTCCTCGAACAACTCCGCGTGACCCAATTCGAGCACGAGTTCCGTAAGCCAATGATTGCACTTTGCCGACACCTCCTCATCGACGAGGCTGAGAGCGATAATTGGCGGGGGTTGCATTCGCTCAACACACTCGCTGGCACGATTGATCTTCGGGAACTTTTTGATACTCGTCTACGCTACTACGCTCGTAAGGGTGCAGTAGAGGTGCCCAACGTTGACAATCTCCTCCGACTCTACTCCCAGGTCGACATCCTTTTGAATGATGCTCTGTTTTACGGTGACAGGAGGGTTCTTGCCATTATCGATGAGGCCCTTCGATCGGTTTACAAACTGCAGGGTACGCCCGAGAACACGATCCCCGCCGATATTAACGCCGATATGTTCGCGCTCCTCTTCTTCATCGTTCTCAGGCGGGCGGCCCTCGAGGATATTTATCTCGAGGCTACTGATCGATGCCCTTACTTCCTCTCTCAGACCGATCAGGCGGCCGTCTTTGCCGAGCTCTGGGTCCTGGGATCCCAGTGCGAGATCTACTTTGGTATCCTACCCCGAGACTTGGGTGAGATCGTTTATCGGACATACCACAAGTACCTCGAAGTCAATGTGCCACCGGCGAAACCCACAGAATCCAAGGAGCGCGTCATCACCATGTATTGGCCCGTTACCGCTGAGCGTGAACTCGAGAGCAAGGGCAAGCTCCCGTCTGGCTCGTACGCGGCGCCTGTATCGGAGGAAAACAAGCTTCGACACTGGAAGAAGCGTCTCCAGGAATTCGGAGCCCTGTCAATCTTCTGTTTCCCCGCTATCCTGGATGTTATCTTGTTGAGCTTCCTTGGAAGAGGTTTGTTTACTACCGCCTTCATGGAACCCTCCCACATTGTCGCCTCTGGCTACGCCGTCTTGATTTCGCTTCTTCTCGCCGCAGGTGTCACCGGTTGGGTCGGCAGCGTCGGCCACTACTACATGCCGCACTACGCCTATGACAACCTCTTGTTCTTCCACGTTCAGAGGCTTTCGGGTGGCTTCATGCTCTCGTTTACCGTTGCTGCGATAGGTCTAATTGCCTTCGCCGTATCGTACGACATCTACGTTGGCTTGGTGTTTGCGGCGTACCTGATCGTCGTTTCCACTTATCTTACTCTTCTTGGTATTATGGCGACGATGCACCAGCGAGGAAGCCCGCTCCGCTCCGGACGATTGATTCTCTGGCGTACCATTCCATTCCTCTTCCTCTCTCCTCTCATCTCTTCCTTCGTGAACGGCCACGACCTCAAGATCTACCTGCCCATCTCGTACGCCTTCCTCGTCCTCGTCCTGATCCAATACAGGAGTCTTTGTACGGAGTGGTCGGGCTGGATGTCCAACATCCCCGAACTCACCGAGCGAGATATTGCGGACTGGTACTCTGCGAGGTACTCGAAGGGCGATCAAGGTAGCGATAGCGACTCTCTCATCTCCCGACAAAGCAACTCTGAACACGCAGCCGAGACAGAATTCCGAAAGACCATTGAGATGCACATGCGTTCTAAATTCCGGCTTGGTGACAGGCGCATGGATCCCGTTGCTGCCCGCATTGCCAAGGCCATGCCTTATATCAACTGGTTGATGATCAAGGAGTACCCCAACGGAGATATTCCGCCTGCGTTCAGTGCTGAGTGGTTCAACAATCTCGGCGAAGCCAAGGCCAAGCAGAAGCAGCTGTGCCGTGGTCTCAAGGAGCACAATGCGGTACTTCTCTTCCGTGCCTCGCGTTACGATATCGGCCAGAACGTGGCCTTGTTCCTGATCGCTCTAATGGACCGATGGACCGCGCTTGTCATGTCTGGGCGTGATCCCCAGATCTCCCTTTATACCGACTTCCGATCCCGATATGGTCTCTGCCTCTGCATCATATACTTCTGTTTCTCTGTCATGTCTCTCGATGCCACTCTTCAAAATTACTGGCCTGATCGTTTCAAGTTGTCTGAAGAGAAGATGGTCGACTTCAACCACACCAAGCACATCCTGGAGAACTGGGAGAAGAGGCGGTTCAAGGTCTATTGCACGGCCTTGGTCGAACTGGCCAAGAAGCTCCTCTTTATTCTTGGCTTCACTACTCTCCTGCTGTGGCTCATGGTGGACAACCACGAGACCATTATTGTCTATTGGTGCTACATTTTTGGCTACACCTGCGTCGTCCTCTTCCAGTTCAATCGTTGCTTCGCCATCTTCGTGCGAGCTCACGTCACCACCCTCTACTTCTCTGCTCTCTTTGGTCTCATCGTCGGCTGCATACTTCATGCTCTGCCTTGGACCTACACTCTCTTATACATTGACATTCTCGCCATGTGTACGGCCGCCTTCACTGCCTTTCTCGTCACGTCCATCTGGGTCTGGATCGGCTTCCGTCCTCAGATGTCCCCCAATATCGAAGCCTTATCGCCCAACGCGCAGGATGGCGGGATCTGGAAGCAGCCACTCATCACTGCTCTCAACCGCCGCGCTGGAGGACCCACAGCCCTCGCGAGTTGGAAGTCCCTCGAGTCGAGTCGAACCACTCTTACTCCGTCCTCCGCCGCCACCACGGTCATTACTCAAACTCTCCAGCAGGTTTCCGACTATCCTAGCGAGACGACACCCAGCTGGCAGATGGACATCGTGCAGCGCGCACGAGACATGTGGGCCAACCACAACATCGTTGTCTCGTTCGTTGATCGCGAAGCCTTTGCCAATTCTGGCCTTCGTGGTTGCTGCTCTGCCAGCCGGCTCGACTCTCGGGGCCGTCTCGATATCAACGTCGGTGTCTTTGGCGCGTCCGAGATTCGGCTCTCCTCCTGGGCCTCGGTCCAAGGTCGGATCGCTACCGAGGCCATCCTCTACCACGTTGCCCGTTCTTGGCGTAACATTCCACACAAGGATGCCGTGCTGATCGAGCACCTGCTTCTCGAGGAGGGTGAGACAATGTCTCGAAGAATCAGCTTCGAGATTGCCATGCTTGATCCCGCTTCTTCCCGTAACCTCCACCTCAAGACCAACGCCGAGTTGATGCGACACTTGTGCCTCGACCTCGATGTCGACGCCAAGTGGGGCGTCATCCCCGCACCCGCTCGCGAGGCCATTCTTTGCCGCATCCTGGGCGAGACTGTTCCGATGGCACCCGAGTTTATCGAGTGGCTGGAGGACCAGAAGGTCGACATGGGCGCATGCGACTTCAACGTGCGTCTTTGCTTGTCGATTTCCCACGAGAGCCAACTGACCCTGGGAACACTCGCGTACCTCTCCGACGATGCGCCTCGCATCACCAACCACATCGAGCCCGACTTGATGTGTGTGCCAATGAACGAGGGTCGAGCCTATCAGAACTGGGTCACTCGTGCCGGGTCGTGGATTCGGCGGTTCTGTCTCGGAACCGTGCGATGGATAGCCGTCGTCTGCGGCGCCGACTCTAACATCGAGAGAGAGCTATGGTACAAGCTTAGGCACACCTACCTGCGCACCGTAATCATCACGGTTGTCCTTGCCATCTGGAACCTCTGCCATATTGCTCGAAACTCTTGGGTCTTCGCCATCCTCATCTACCATCGCCCGGCCATCGCCAACATTGCGCGTCTTGCTCGAAAGGGTGCCGCTCGTGCCATTAATGGAAACTCTATCGTCGTTGAATTGTCTCGATCTGCCATCACCGGCTTCGCATCTGAGAACGACGAGGGAATGATGGTTCTTAACATCTTTGATGGAATCCTGACCGAGCCCCCGGCCAACAAGGAACCTACTTGCCAAGCTCTCTACGACAGCAAGTTCAGGCTTCAGAGACGTGTCAAGAAGGAGGCTAAGGGTACCGCCACCTCCACCTACCGCTACCACGAGCCTAACAGTGACCACCGCTGGCCTACTCAAAAGGTGGAGACTTCGGAGTCGAGGACCATGACGGGCTACTACGACAAGCACGGCCGCATCTGCGTCGGTACCCTCCGCCTTGGCAGGACCGAGTTCTCCTTCAGGTACTACTACAAGGCTACTCCTAAAGGCAGCAGCGATATTCTTCGCGCGGATTATGAGATTATCGGATCCGATACCCATGACGGTATCTATGCCTACTGGGGTGAGCCGACTCGGGCCAGCTCCAAGGAGTACAATTGGGTTCCCTCGGAGCGTCTTTGCAGGATTGTGAGGAAGGTGGACGGAAAGACATACATCACCACCCTCGAGTACCAACATCGTCGTGATCCCACTAGCGTCACTGTCATTGAGGGAGACACCGGCACCACTGCCATCGCCGAGCCCCCGAAGGTGTGCAACGAGGAAGCCCAGCTTCTCCAGCGCCCCAAGGACCACGTGTTCCACTCGGACGATCTCCTCATCTACCACGGCATGTTCCAGCTCAACCGTATGCGAAAGGCAGCCAAGAGCGCGGGTCCTGCCAATAATACTCCGTTCCTTTCGTCTCTCAAACTTACTTCTCTGTTCTCATGGCACGGTCGCATTGTCTATCGCCGGGCTCCTACTTGGCGAGTCAGGACTGAACTCTGGAGCCACTGGTTGAAGACAGGAAACCTTGACGCCATCACTGCCTGCTGGATGGATGAGGATATTCTTCGACAGGAGCCTCTTCTCCGCGAGTACTGGAAGCTTCGTGACCGCGGCCGACTCACCGAGGCTCGCGCCGCTCTCGACCGGAACATTAATCAGATCTTTGCCGCTATCGAGATCGAGACTGCCGTGTCCGAAGTGTGTCTCCTGCCGATCAAGACATCTGATCTGTACGCCATGGGTCTCGGCAACGACGCCACTCAGGTCACCACCCGCCCCGAGGACTGCTACCGTGATACCAAGGACCGTATCTCCGTCATATTCACCGATATCGGATGCTGGCCCGAGGCTCCTGGTGGTGTTTCCAACTGTCGTCGCGATTTGGTCAACGGTCACTCGACAATTAGGAACCACGTGCTGGCGGAGAGCGCCAACGAATACGGTATTCCTCGCTTCCAGATTGAAAAGAACGTGCAGTCTCTTAAGCTGCTCCCTCTCTGGGGTCTCGATGGTCGATCTGCCCATCACGGTATCATTGACAATTATCTCCAGTCTCAAGTCGATGAGAAGATTGAGAACACCGATGACAAGTACGATATCGAGCAGACTTTCGTTCCTCTCCTCAAGGCTTTCGTCAAAGGCGCCCGATCCACTCGCTGTTCGCGCGAAGAGCTCATCAACTACTCGAACGTGATTCTCTCCATCTCCAAGTACTTCGAGTACAAGGACTACAATCGCACCTGGGAGTCGCCGGAGGTTGAACGCGCTTGGGTCGAGGCGTGGATGACGCACTACGACGAGGAGAATGTCAATAACGTCTCCGACTTCTTCGAGATTGAGCGACCCAGTCTTTCCGATCTGCGTGAGGCCCTGGGCATCTACAAGGCTTACTTCTTTGTCTTCGCCGTCAAGATTCCCGACGACTGTCCCCGCGTCTTCCAAAGTACCCATCACGGTATCGGTTCGCTCTTCGGCATGATCCTCAAGTACCGCAAGGGATCGACGTTCTGTATTTGGGACCACGCCATTCTATGGCGGGAGTGCTGTCTCAACATTTCGCCCGCGCAGTGCGCCCTGCCAATCCCCGTCCAGTCTATTCTTCTCGCTGGTATCGGTCTCGCTACGAGGCTCGCCTACATGCATGCCGACGTGATTATGCCCTGCACGTCGCTTTACAATCCGTAAGTTGAGCACTTGAGATAATTTTACGGTTTTTTTATAGCATCTCGCTAACTGATACAACTTTCTCTAGCATGTGGGAGACTGAGATCGGTACCGATCGAGGCCGAATTGGTAGCCGCAAGCGATTCAGCCGCAAGATTGAGCCCATCGTCAACGGTATCAGCAACATGGATTCCTTCCAACCCGTCGACGAGATCCGCACCAAGAAACCCACCGTGGTCATGTTGTCGCACGTCCAGTTCATCAAGGGCATCAAGTCTGCCATCCAGGCTGCCGATGTCATCGTCAACCGATACGGCTTCAAAGATTATCAGCTTTGGGTCTACGGTTCCAAGGATCGTCAGCCTTCGTACTGTGCTGAGATGGTTCGTTTGATTGCCGACTGCAAGCTGGGCGACAACGTCGTGCTCAAGGGTTTCGGTAAGCCTCACGAGGTCCTCAAGGATGCCTGGCTCTTCATGAACTCGTCCATTTCGGAAGGTCTTCCTCTCGCTATTGGTGAGGCGGCCCTTGCTGGTGTTCCTATCGTGGCCACCGAGGTCGGCGCTACGGCGCTCGTCCTGACCGAGCCCGAAGAGGAGAACACGCGCTACGGTGAGGTCGTGCCGCCCAACGACCCAACGGCTCTCGCCCGCGCCCAGCTCCGCCTCCTCTCCATGACGGGCCCCTGGACCAAGTACACGGACGATGGTGAGTCGGTCGAGCTGCCCGAAGAGATTAGTGCTGCGGATGTCGAGTGGCTCTCCGTCCGAATGAGGGAGAAGATGCAATATCGCAGGAAGCTTGGTATGCTTTCCCGTGGTGTTGTTATGAAGTGTTTCCACGGTGAGCGATACCTCCGCGAGCACGAGCAAATGTACTGGGTGCAGTGGTACCTCTCCAAGATGCGGGCGAACCCATCGCTCAACTTCCCCAGCGGATCGTTTAAGTTTGGTGGCCAGAAAGAGCTGCACTACATCGAGGAGAAGGTGTCGTCAGGATCGGACGACGGCAGCAGTGAGGACGATGAGCGCGAGGCGGCCGAGAAGGTACTAAAGTGGCAGGACTTTGACCGCCACGCGCTTCTCGCCGCGGAGAAGAAGATGAACCGCAACAGGCTGAGCAAATCGAGGCCTTCGTCAGCGGGTTCCGGGGCGACGGATAGGGATTCCCTGTGGAACAGGATAAGTCGGAACAGGCCGGCGCCACCACAGCCTATCTGGAATACGGGTGATGGACGAGTATCCAGAGCCTGGTCCGAGACGGCATAAACCAAACGAAAAGGAAGAAAAAATAAGGGGGGAACAACAAAGTGGGAGGAACATAATGTCTTTCGTTTATATCAACCATGTCATGAAATATATGGGAAGGGAGCTGAACTGAAATTGGAGATAATGGTAATACCCTCGTTTTATCACATAGATATCCTCCCTGGGGGTTTGTTCACAACTGTCATACTGGGTGTTTACACTTTGTTTTTTCTATTGTTTTTCTTATTATATGAAGCGGATACTGGGTTTCAGAACAGGACATGAACTTTGTGTGCATCTTTTGGTCGTTTTCTTCTCCATCTCTTGTCTTTTCTCTTTTCTTTTTTTTTTTACCTTCTATCTCTTTACAAGCAAAGCGAAGCAAAACATGGAGTCTTAGCATAGAATGTCCCACTGTCATTCTACGGCGAGGTTGTCTGAGTGGGGAGGGAAAAGAGGTAGCAAGAAGCATGAGAATGTTTGGATGGGTTTCTTCTAATTGTTTTATCCATGTTGGATAGATGGCATGATAAGTGTGATAGTGAATCGAATTGGAAATATCGGAAATGTTAATTGGGAGAATAAGCATGTTTGTGAGCTGCTAGATAGACCATTTCCTGCTGCCATCTCGCCCTGATCCAAGCCAGCGATGAGACATTCATGGCCCATGGCGTCTTATATTATTTGATGTTTTTTCCAAAGGGCCCCAAGTTTTCCATCGACAGAGTGTGTCTCTCCAAAATTGGGTTCAATGTCGTGTCGGGCCCTGGGACTCGGAATCCACGAGAGAAATGACAATGATGCCCCGAGCGGCAGAGAAGTCGACTTGGATGGTCAACGGGGCCTCCATGTTTGACCGAATAAACCTTGTGCTGACGCTGATGGCGACATTGACGGCGAATTGCAGGGCCTTGCGATTAGAGTAGCCTTCGATCTGGAGTAGACACACTCTCGTGAGCGATCGGAAGAAAGGGCTTTTCTCTCATTTTTTATTTAATTTTTTTCCCTTCTTCTGTTGACCTCTTTTTTTTTCTCAAGACATACCTCGGTGGGCGCAGAGAACTACTTCAAATGGTCACGAAAGTCGATATACTCCGACGGGGGCCGTTGGCTTCTCCTGCGTTGTACGCCAGAATTCCCTTTCTCGATCATATCCCGTGGCGACGATGGCGCTTAACGTTGTTCGTTAGTTTCTGCAGATATGTGTGTGGCTGCGCGTGCGTTCTCGTTTTTCTCGTCAGATGAACTGTACCGCTGTTTACAATTCGGGAAGAGGCCATGGCGATTCGAGACGGATGGACACAATAGATGCGATCAAGGTTGGGAACGCTGAGAAGCTTCGTGGGCCCAGTGAAAAGAGGTTGGGTTTTGGTATGGCTATTGTGGGAGGTTCAGATCAATGAACCGAGAGGAATCGGGGGGGGGGGGGGGGGGGGGGGGGGGGGGGGGGGTATACTACTTCTCTTTCGTTCTTCATTCTCCCCTCTCTCGTTCTCTCTCTCTCTATACATATACATATATACATATATTGGGCCACGGCCATCCTCGACCTTCTCCCGATTTTGCATTGTTTCCTAGTTTTCCGGAGCCATGAATCCTGGACCGGCGATGTGACCAGCACTGAGAACGGACGTGGCTGACTCTCGTTCAGACTGACCCGCGAAGGCGCCCGATCTGTCATAAGTCCCCGAGTCTATGGTGCATACAAGAACCGGCACTCCGGCCGGGGAGGCGCCCAAGGTGTTTGACCCACGAAAGAAGCAGAATCGCGTCTGGATTGTGTCGGATGGCAGAAATGCCAGCTCGACAACCAAGCACTTTGGGATGTGCCGCTCTGAGCTAGGATCGCCCACATGATGTTCCTAGGGACAATAAACCCCATCTTGATTCTGTAGATTCTACGAGAACACAACCCAGCCATGGCTCGGATCTAGAGGAATCAGGGGAGGTATCCTCCTCTCTAAACACCAACTCGGCCACGACCATCCTAGCCGGTCGTCCCATTTCGCGGTTTCCCTGTTTTCCGGGGCATTGGATCTTGGACTCGCGGTGTTGTAACCGGAGGTGAGATGGAGGGAAGTGGTTGGCTCTCATGCAGGCTGACGGGCCGTAGTCGACATTCCGTTTTTCTGCTGTTTCTTCGCCTTATTTGCGGCCTGCCTAGTATCCTTTCGGATTGACTCCTTCTATGTAGAGGTTATTGCACGAAAATCGGTGGTGCGAGGACTTTCTCGCATCGGTATCCGCTGGCTGATTATCGACTATCTTGCGTGAGGTTGAAGATGCATGGAGGACTAGTGGATGGGGGCGATCTTCCAGAGCGGAGAAGAATAAGAAGGACCATTAACGCCGGACAGTCATGTCGTTTGCTGGCCTAATATGCTATTGACGGGCATTATACATTGTCACTATAACAGCCGGACGTCGGCTCAGTCAAGACTTGATTCGAATCCTGCAAAGTGTCCTTGGGGAAGGCTCTCCTAGCGTTGACTTGAGCCCTCTGGCATAGCTTCCTCCGGAGTAGACACTGGGACATCCGCAAGGTTGGCAGTCTCGTCTCGCCATGTATCGATCAAATCAAAACCTCGCTCCTGAAATCCGGAAGACATCCCGTAAAACAGGTAAGAAAAGTCTCCATCCTCGCCATTGGCCGAAGGCTCTAGAAGGCCTTGCTCTAATGACGGATTGGGATCTGCATCGACGGGGAACGTGGGCTGGTCATTTCTTAGGGAAGATGCCGCATTCCGAGGCGCAAGGTTCCTCTGACCCACGATGTCGGCAATAAACCTGGTCTCTGGTTTCGGCGCAAGCCTTGGACGCTTCGCCCGTCGTTCGTGGATTTCGGGTCTCTCGGCAATTGGTCGAGGCGTCCCGGCCGTCGTAACGGACAGCGGCGTCGATGTATCCGGATCCGTGATTGAGGCGGCTGGTCGCCGCGGACCGGAATTTCCTTGACCTCTGCTTTGGTTGTTTACGTAGGGCATCGTCCGCGTTATCTCGTCGCTGTGATCGAGGAGAGACTGGAAGTGACTGTAGAGTGTTGCCGCCTTCAAGTCAATTGCCACCTCATCGCCGGAATTATACCGGAAACGGAATTGTTGGTCGTGACCAATCGACGAATTCTCTCTTCGACCGAGCTCAAAGTCATCCATCTTTTTAACAAAGTAGTGTTTCAATACAGCCGCGAAGTTAGGGTAGTCATCGATTTCTAAGTCGCAGAGGATCCCTGCAAGGGTAGGGATCGATTCTAGCAGGAGTCTTGCAAACTCGAAGTGTTCCATGACGGGTCGATATTCTATTTCATCGAAGAGAGTATGTCAGTTAGGATGATTAACAGATATGTGTAGAGATCATTTGGAAAGTTATACCCGGGGATATTTTGACATTCGCAGATCGAAGCACAGACTGACAGAGCTCTTCCCACTGCTCCTCGGCGGTGACATTTATCCTGCTCGGGCGTTTTGACAGGATCTCTTCCTCTAAGCCAAGTTTGAGGCTTGATCTCAAGTCTTTTACCTCGCACAACTCTCCTGTCCTTTGGTGCTCATCCCGCTCATTTCGCGTGCGAAACCCGGCGAGACATCGGCTGCATGCGACTTCCGCCTTGTCTTGGCGTCTATGACATCGACGTAGATGTTCCCTATCCATATTAGAATTCACCGTTCGGAATTTATATGTAAGGGGTGGCGGGTTGGCGGCCGGTGGACTTACTTCAGAGATTTCAAGTCGGAGAAGAAGGTCATAGAGCAAGAATAGTACTCCCTGACATTGAAAGTAAACGGATCTTTCATTCTAAAGGGACACGGGAATCGAAACCGCGAGGTTGGTCCGGACGAACCCGGCTTCCCGGGTGCCTCCATTCCGCGTGGTGATTTCCCGTCACCAGGATTGTGGTTCCCCCTTCCATTACCTGCACCCCCACCAGAAGAGGAACCTACTTTCTCAGACCTCCCCGGTGGGCCCGAGCCTAACGCAATACCAGAACTCAATGCGGTAAAAGACACATTCGAGGCTTCCATCGGGGTTTGCTGGAGATGACAGACGGGATTGACGGCACTTGCGAGTTGATTGGTAAAATCCTCGGCGACTTCCATTAGATTATCTAGAGCAAACGGGCCCGTGAAAACCAACGTGTCCAGGTCTGTGTCGAATAAAACACGGTAGCTAAAGTCCAGAATCTGACGCATCTTTGAGGCTTGGGTGTTCTCGATCGTTTCGCTTCCTGTGCCTGACTGTGGGCTCGCTGCTAGCGAAGGGGCAGCAGACACACTTTGCAGTCTCACCAAAGGTGCAGGCGTTTGTTCCACATCTTTCCCCTTGCCTTTTGAGGGATTCTCGTTGAAAAGGGCTGTGTAATATAACTCTAGCTGGTTGCAAGTTGAGTTGTAAGCTGACTTCGGATCCTCGCCGAATCCATGTTGCGGTAGGTTTCTCGGGCCCAAGTTCTTTTCGCCGGGGAACTCGTCTTTGACTTTGGAGGTGAACAATTCCTTAGAAGGAACCTTCGTTCCAGGCTCCTCTTTCGGCGGACGTAAATCCCCACCCGCGACGCTTGCCACAGTCTCCTGGACGAACTTTCGCAGGATTTGGTGAAGGAAGGAGACAACCTGTGGGAGAAGATCTGCCTCTGCTGACTTCACGTGCGTTGTCAGGAAGTCTTCCTGGGCCTGGGCCAGCTCGAAATGTTCGATGGGAGCGACGAAGCCTATGTGTTATATTTTCTTAAGCCTTATTTCAATTTGAGGAAGGGGGGTTGGCTTCAGAGTCAAGGCTCACCTTGGTATATCACTTCCGTCTTTGGGAATACCCAAATCCAGAGTCCCTGCCATGTCCCTAGATGGACATGTTCTAATTCCTTCGCTGTCAACAAAGCAATGCCGTCCTCGGGATCCCCAGATTCCTTGCCCGAGCTCTTACTCGCCGTGGCTTCCTGGAACAAAGAGGTTCCGGCGGGCAAGGAGCTACGGACGTGATGGGAGAGAACATGCGCCCTTGAGTTGAACTGTTAGCAAAGAGCGGGACTTATCGAGGGAGGGGTTTTTGGATCAAACACCATACTGGACCAGGCCGACAGTTTCGAATTTTCCGAGAGCACAGGGGGGGTGGTCTCTGACATTGAACCTGTGCCGATTCCGTACCCGATACGGGCAGGCAAATCCGTCTTTGGGAGCGAATGATTTTCCCCCAACCGCTCTGGTCATAAATGGTCGAGATTGACCTTTGCGGTCGAGATCAGTCAGATCCAACTTCTTGGAGCTCTTTTGGCTTGCCATCTGAGGGGGAGGTAGCTAAATTCGTCGCGCTTCTGGGTACCCTTTACGAAGTAAGGGAATGATTGCTAACAACCAGTTTTTCCCCTCCCTCTTCTATTTTCAAGGCTTAAGAAATTTGAGCTGGGCAGCCTGCTGCTTTATCATATCCCGCGTGGCTTATAACCCCCTGGTCTCTTCAATGAAGGGCCGAATCAACACGACCTTGCCTTGACCTGCAAGAGCGAGATGGTGGTGGCGGCGCCCCTCCGCCATCTAATTGGCCGGTTTTCATCACCTCGAACTCGGTGATCATCGTCCAGGTCGCGACCAGGCCTTCGGGAGACCCTGGCTTCGATGAAAGTGTTGACGTAGTTAGCAACCATCAAAACGAGGCAATCGTAAAGGGAGTTAAGAGCCTGGAATATCGAGCGGATCGAATCGAACTGTCTTCGGAAATGGGTATAAGTACTGGTGATGGCTGACGTTCTGCCATACTCTGTCAACTCGGCCGATCCACCACTCTTATTGTTTGTCTCCTGTGAATTAGATCCGATCTGAGACCATGGCCACCAACACCTCCAATCCTTCCATTACCATCTCAACCAGGTACGAAGCGCGTCCCATCAGCAGGATGACCAAAGCGCTAACACCCGCAGCCTGTCGGTCGCCAACACCATGATCGACATTCAATTTACCATCACTTGCGAATCGGCAGAGAATATCACTTGGTCGCAAGATCAATCGACGGCCCAGTTGCAATTTCTTGTCACCGCGAGCGCGGCTCAAGCTGCGAATGGGGCGCTGTTCGAACCATTGGACTTATTCACCCCGAACTGGAGCGGGTGAAACTGGTCTGGAGTGCGGTTGGGACAATTGGGGAACGGGATTGAACCTGTGGCCTTTGGGAAATCGGGTAGATGTTTTCGCTTTAGGACAGCAATAGAAATATACTGAGGATTGCCAGTTTTGAATTGATCATATTGATGCATGCTCGCCACCGATAGTTCGTTTGTCGTACGGGTCTCCGGTATGAAGTCCACCCCAAGTCCTCGAGACACCAGAGCGGCTCCTAATCACGGCTCCTAATCACAAGCCCCAACGTAAAGCGGACGGGAGAGCCTTCCACATATCATTGCATGATTGGACAACCAGTGGGAGGTGTCTCCTTGCCTTGAGAGACACAGATCCGATCGCCGATCTCGGTCCGGAGCGGGGCGTAGCGGACCAATTTTTGGTCGGCCGAGACAGAGGAGAACCTCCATCACCTCCCCGCGTCCGCAGGTTCTGCATGTTTTTGACCTTTCTTTTCCACGACAAATTCCCCGCGCAGACAGATACCCGTAACCAAACAAGAACCCCCTTACACGAAAGGTGTTGGCATGGAGGGTTGTATGTTGTATTTCCGATACCATGAAGGAGAGAAGAGTTCTTTGGGTAGAAGGGTCTTCCCGATGGCTAGCATCGGATCCCCTAGTCACTGTAGCTGGGCTAGCCAAGAGCCTAATGCTCGTATACCGAGAGATCGCGTCGGCTTCGAAGCTGTTCCCTCGAATCGAGTTCCCTACCACACCGGAATTTGGATTCCATGGCGAACGTAGGGCCGGGTCAAGTAGGTTTCTTGTTGGATTGGCATTTTAGAACTCGTATCTCCGCTTGATCATCGGTCACCATCGCTGTCGCGTGGATATCATCTTCCATCATTGTCTTCATTGTCTTGAGGAGCGAAGGCTTGAGGGATATCGAATTATTACCCTGTACCTCAGTAGTCATGCTCAAGGTCACGTTAATAGTGGAGTGTGTACTTCGTACCTCCCCCAAATGCCAAAAGTTCCCAGGAGAAAATCAGATGTTGCGAGTTATCTTTCAAGGGCTGGATTCCCGTTGGGACGTACAATCGCCCGAACTCGAGTCTCGCTTTCATCCTCAATGTATTGTTAAAGCAAGTGCCAAAGGCCGCGGTAGCTAGACTATGAAAATGATATGTCTCCTATTCCGTACTCTCCCATACTCTCCCGATGTAATTACGGCTTGTAATCGAGACATGCTGCCTGTTCATTCATTCCAACGGAGAGAGAAAGAAACATTGGACCAGAGTCCCAAGCAACCACAGCTATCCTTCTGCGTCCCTCCCATCTCGGACGTATTTCCTCTACCACTTAGCCTCCTTGCTAGCCAAGAAAGCCTGGAGGATCTCAACAATCTTCTCCAAAGCATCAAGATAAGCCTTGAGATCCTCCTCGACCTTGGCAGGATCATCACCCATCTTGCTGTAGAAATCCTTGCGGTAGGGACACGCGGCCATGGCGGCGCTGAAGATGGGTTTGACGAGGAAGGAGTGGAAGGGCTTGAGGGTTTCGGTGTAGGAGGTGCGGAAGGAGTCGGCGAGTTCTTGGTTGGGGTTCTTGAGGCTGAAGATGAGGGCGCGGCAGGTGAAGTCGAGGCCTCTGGATTGGAGCCGAAGCGGGTTAGCGGAGATTTGATTCCGGAGATAAGGGCGGGTAGACGATGGGGGAAAGGGGGAATGGGGAGCTAGAGGAAGAGGAGAGATATCTTACCGGACCAGCCAGAGGAGACCTTCGGTGGCGGTGTGCTTCTTGGCCTTGAGCTCATTGCGGCAGAGATCTTGGATGTTCTCGGATTCTCCGGGGGCGGCAAGCTGGCGATCTCGGATCTTCTGTTGATGGGGGAATCACGTCAATGGCATTGGATTAGCACCTCCGTGCTTAGTTTGAGTCTAGGAACTCTGGGGTTGGAGACTTGGGAACGAACCTTGACGTTGTGAAGCATGTCGTTCTTGACGGGAGAAAAGGCGACGGATCCGAGGACGTCTAACAACGGCACGGCACAGATTAGACAAGAATCACCTCTAAAGCTAAGCAGAAAACCACAGGAGACGTTCTCGGAGGCTTCAGCGTTGCCCATGACACGTCACGTACCGAACATGTAGGTCAAGGCCTCGGCGGCCTCGAGGAACTCGGAGGTAGAGATGGCATTTCCGTTGGCGGCATCGATAGGGACATCGGTGAAAGAGCGCTTAAGGACGTCCATAAGCGTCTTGCCGGCGGGGATGGGCTGAGTTCCGGTCATTTTGAAAAGTTTGTATTCAAAGAAAGGGGGGAGGCTGTAGGAAGAGCGAGCGGGAGTGATGCTACGGAGAGGAGAGCTTGGATGGGAGATGGACAGAGAAGAGAGGAAGCACAGCTAAGTCAACTTCAGGCCAGCTTGCAGTAAAAAGGGAAAAAAATTGGGGACGAGAGGTAGCTAAGGATAGCTAGGAAGCTCAATTGCTGCGCTGGCTTGGAAGAGCGAACTCGGAGGGTGTCGTCGGACGAGAACGAGGGAATGTGGGGGTGGTTTTGGGAAGGTAATCAATCAATCAATATTGATGGTGTCTTGGTGTCTCTTTCTGGGCTGGTTTTGGGGAGGGGCAGAGATGAGAGGGGGAAGGGGTGATAGGGGTCAAGGTACCTGGCCAGTGTTATTTTGGAATATCTGAGCGGAATGGCGTTGCTTGCTAGAGGATTAATAACAGTGTTCATAAGGGAAGATACTGTGGTGATACAAACACGTCGTGTTCAGGTCCCCTTGTCCCCTGGAACAGGCGGGGACCCCTGAGAGGCCTGGTCCAGTAAGATCGACGGAAGCCCCGGTGAGGATGGCGGGGTTGACGTGGCTCACCGAGCCAATAATGGAAGGCAGGTGCAATGGGCAAATGGACAATGCCCCAACATTCCCAACATCTGGACGGGATCCTTAGTCATCAAGGATTTGAGCACAGCCTGGAAGTCGAGTCCTCTGTGGACTTCGTGCCCAAGGTAAGTTCAGCGGTTCAGTGTTGCACCATGCAGTGGCCCAGAGCTTCATCCCATGTCCAAGACTTGTTCGCTGGCACAAGTTCAAGGGTTTGTCCTGAGTCGCCGCCAACCAAAGTTATTCTTTTGCAATCTCCCTTGGATCGAGGAAATAACAGGTCCCCCAAGATCTCCTTATCGGCGATAGCTCGATAACTCGACTGCATCTACGAAGTAGATTCTGGGCTAAACCTTTAGCTCGCCGATCATCTCTGCCGATCCGCTGTTCTTGGATCTTTCCCCATCCCCAGCTCTGTCGACTCCATGGTTGCGGCGCCGGGTTTGGAGATGTCAATGCCAGGACTCGGTATGGCTCTGTTTCCTTGGCCATCTGATGTCTTGTCAGCCGAATGTTCTTTCATCCGTATGGGTAATTGGTAGTTTAATTGAAAGCTCCAAGCTGTCAATTGATCCATGATCAGCCGGCAACAAGAAGTCGTTGGGTCCGCAGTTCATGACGTCATGCCACCGCCGACCTTTGACCAGCCCATGCGTCCATCACCAACTGTGAAGCCAGCTAGGGATCATCGTGTCCATCCGTATTTCAACAAGCCAAAAAAAAAAAAAAAAAAAAAAAAAAAAAAAAGGAGCCCCCGGGTGGAACCATGTTGATCCGTAAGCTCGCGATGCCCCGCTCTGTCTGCCCATTGGATCTCCCACGAGCCACCACGCCGTTGGCCCATGTCGGATGTCGATACGACCAATCCACCTAGTTTATCATTCCAAGGCTGGGGGTATGTGCGGTTCCGATGACGACTCTCTTTCTTTCTCTAGGCTCGCTTCGAGGCCGATGACGTGCTGTGCTTTCCTTCCGTCTCTCTTGCTGGCGCTCACTCCGGCTTGGCCTAGAACAGCCACTCGCGCTGGTCTCGTCGATCAACCTTAAATTCGCCTTGTTCTCGCCGTCGCACCGCAGCCCGTGATGTCACATCAAAAGCTTCTTCAATTCTCCCGCCCAGATGGTGTAACCTATTAACCTTGTTTCGCCTTTCCATGAATTTCGCACCCTCAGCTCAAGCTGTAACTTGTACCCGGGTAACATACCTGAACATTTACATAAGTAGATAGATACCCATGTCCATGCACCCGCTTGTGCTTTCCTCAACTCAAATGTCCTACTTTGCTGCCATACTTCCCTCCCAACAAGATAGACAGTGACGAGCTGTCCTGCGCAAGATCTCCGGTTGAGCCTCATAGATTCCCAGAAAATAAAGCGGGCGACGAGAACCACGACGCGCAATTGGGGTCACCGACAATGACTGAAACCGCCAAACCTGACGGCATCTTCTCGAGGCTCAGGACCACTGGTCTGGAGCTCAGGGAGAAATTGAACCACGAGAGCCTTCACGATGCCAAGGTTGCCCTCATACACAGAAAGTAACGAACATATACCTCCATTCGCCCTGGGTCGTTGCGATTGAACTGATCGGAAGGGGGAAAAAAAAAATATGCATATTTGGCTGACCAAAACTATTTAGGCATGAAATTGGGAAATTCGGGAACCTGGTATGATGACCCCAGGGAATAGATAGCAAGAGAATCGTATGTGATGGAGACGCGGCGCTGCTAACCCAGGCCTCTTACCCAGTTCAACGCAAACCACCGCCATGACGAAGAGCACGAAAAAGCCACCGACGAAAAACGGACCCGAATGTCTCAAGCGAACCGCTACGAGTCTTACTTCCCCGAACGCGACGGAAACATCGTGAAATGGTACGTCGACGGCCGCGACTACTTCTGGGCCGTCTCCGAGGCCCTCGACAAGGCCAAGGAACTCATCTACATTGCCGACTGGTGGCTAAGTCCCGAGTTCTTCCTCCGCCGACCGCCGCAGGCTAATCAAGAATGGAGACTGGACAACGTTCTCAAGAGGAAAGCTGAACAAGGGGTCAAGATTTACGTCATTGTGTATCGGGAGGTCGAGGCGGCGTTGGCGTGTAATTCGCTCCATACGAAGCATGCCCTTACCGAATTGTGTCCGAAAGGAAGCCCCGGGTACGGAAACATTCGAGTTATGCGACACCCGGATCATAACGTATTTGAAAATGTGGCCGATATGACTTTTTACTGGGCTCATCACGAAAAGTTCATCATCGTGGATTATGAGCTCGCCTTCATCGGCGGCTTAGATCTCTGTTTCGGTAGATGGGATTTGCACCAGCACCCTCTCGCCGACTTGCACCCCGACGGTGTCGCCAACTCCATCTGGCCCGGCCAGGACTTCAACAACAACCGCGTAATGGACTTTAAAAACGTCGCGGACTGGAAAGAGAACGAATTAAGCAAGGCAGAGCACGGTCGCATGCCGTGGCACGACGTCTCCATGGGCGTTATTGGGCCTTGCGTCTACGATATAGCCGAGCATTTCATCCTGCGATGGAACTGCATCAAGCGAGACAAGTATAAGCACGATGACAGGTACGATTGGCTCGAGCTGCGCGGCCGTCAGGAGGACGAAGACCTCGTTGGTGTGCAGAGGCCCAAGCATCCAGTCGGAGAGTACATACTGCACCCCATCACTCCCCTCGAGACCAAGAACCTCGACAAGCGGGGAACCGTCCACGCGCAGATCGTCCGATCAAGCGCCGACTGGTCCAGCGGCATCCTGACGGAACGCTCGATCCAGAACGCTTACTCGGACATCATCCGCAAGGCGCAGCATTACGTGTACATCGAGAACCAGTTCTTCATCACGGCCACGGGCGACAAGCAGGCGCCAGTGCACAACACCATTGGCGCCGCCATCGTGGACGCCGTTCTGCGCGCCCACGAGGAGCGGCGCAAGTTCCGCATCGTCATCTTGATCCCCGCCATTCCGGGCTTTGCGGGCGATTTGCGCGATGATGCGGCGACGGGCACGCGGGCCATCATGCATTACCAATACCGGTCCATCTGCCGCGGCGAAGAGTCCATTTTTGCCAAAATTCGGGCCGCGGGCGTCGAGCCCGAGAAGTACATCTTCTTCTTTAATCTGAGGTCGTACGACAGACTTGCTAGGACGGCCGCCATCGTCGATATAGAGAAGGAGACGGGCATCAAATACCAAGAGGTCCAGCGCGGTCATGCCGAGGAGCTCATGGGCGAGGCGATCCACCAGCGTGAGGGAGAGTCCGACCGTAGGAGGGAAGGATCCCCGAGCCGGAGACACCAGCGCAAAGCAGCCGCCGCAGCCGAAGCCGAGGAGAAAAAAGAAGGCGGGCAGGCCGTAGCGGCTCGGGATAAATTCGAGGAGGCCCTCGCGAAACGCAGGAAGAACGAGACGCGCAAAATTTCCCCCTCCGTCGCGCACCATGCCATGTCCGGCACAGGCGGCGGCGAAACCCTCCTCGTCGAACCATGGGACGAAAACGCAGAAGAAGGCGTCGAGGTGATGAACTGGATCCAAGAGGAGCTATACATCCACTCGAAACTCCTCATCGCCGACGACCGCATCGTCATCTGCGGCTCGAGCAACCTCAACGACCGGAGCCAGCTGGGCAACCACGACAGCGAGCTAAGCATCGTCATCGAGGACACGAATCTTATCGACAGCACCATGGATGGAAAATCGTACCGGGCGGGCTGGCACGCCGCCACGCTGAGGCGGTATCTTTGGCGCGAGCATATGGGGCTCCTGCCACCGCAGGCGCTCGATGCCTCGAAGGATGTGAATGCGAGGCCTCCTGGGGAGGCGTGGGGGAATGATCCGTGGGATCGGGATGATAGCTATTCATTTGTGGAGGATCCGTTGAGTGACGAGTTGTGGAAGGAGTGGACGGAACAGGCGACGACGAATACGGAAGTTTTTAGGCATTTGTTCCACGCGGATCCTGATGATCATGGTAGGACTTTTCTTCTTTTGTCCTTTTCTTACACCCTTCCCGGCTTCTTTTCTGTTTGGTACTGACACATCTGTGCAGTCAAGAAATTTGACGACTATGATAGGTACATGGCGCCGAGGGGCGTGAAGCCGGGCCACATTTTTGACCAGTTCCTGCCCGTGCAGGATATCAAGGAGAAGTTGGCCAAGATCAGGGGACATCTCGTGTGGATGCCCTTGAAGTTTTTGGAGGAGACGGAGATGGCGGAGAAGGGGTTGCAGGTGAATCAGTTTACGGAGAGTGTTTATACATGATATTTTTTGGAAGATATTCGTAAATTATAGAGGATTTTTCTTTCCCGTCTATTTTCTCCGTTTGCTGTATTCTTTTTTTTTTTTCTAAAATTTTATTTATTTTTCTGCTTCCCGCGTATTACCTGGAAGTTTGACATTGTGTGGGAATTCTTGTCATTCATCACGATTGTTGTTTTCTTTCATGGCTCGTTCGGCCAATTCCCGGCGCCAGCGTACAGCCTCAACTTCGAGATGGACCTCAGCGCTAAGCGGGTGGAGAGCACCTTACCTACCTGAAATGCCTAGCGCCCGACAGGGCCACCCCCTGTCTAGTTTCCAGGCGTGGCGTTCATGACGATCCGATCGGTATGCCTGACCGAGTAGTGTAGTCATGTCCCACTGCCGAGGACTAACTGCATTTGAAGTTAACATTCCATACCAGCGCGTGGTTTAGAGAAGCGGGGGACCGAGAATCCCTGTAGGATGCATGGAGATTGATCCTTTAGCCTTCGTGCTCAGCTGGGGTGGGCAAGCTTATCCTTGAGATCGACAGTGCCATCGGCGCCGCCTGCAGGGAGGGTGTTTCCAACTACCTGGATCCGAATGCTTGCTCGGACAGAAATTCTCCGAGCTCGGGATGAGAAGATCAGAAGACGTCGAAGCTGAACCCACATCTGATCAGCGTGGGTTTCCGAGATTGAATGCCCTTGACGACGGGGAATTTTCTCTTGTTGCTTTGGAATGCAGGCATCCACCCTGGAACCCTTATTCAAAGGTAAATTCTGTCCAGGCCGCTGTCCAGGCCGCTGTCCATCGACCGGGGGGTTCAAGAGGGCCCGATACCAAGCGGGGCTCCTTTTTCCTCAAGATAGTCAGGCGTAGCGTCATAATGTTGTACTTTCCTATTTGGATTCATGGTGGTCGGGAATAGGAGGACTGCAGATGCCAAAGACAGAAGAGCGAAACGTCCTGCTTCGTGCTGAGAAGGAATTTGTTCGCTGAACCGGAGAAAAAAGCAAGGCTATGTCCGAGGTAGCAGAATCTGTCGACGAATCCCAGGTGTAGTGGCGCTTGCTTCCCTCTCTTATCCCCTGCTCGGCTCCCGCAAGACTAAGCTGGAAGCCCAAAATGCCAGATCGCATGGAAGATGCTTCATGTAAGAGGAGTGGATCACAGGCCCTCTAGTCCGCGCAGGATATCAGCGATCCCTGTGGATGGGTCGGGCGCCACCTCTACCTCCGCGGTGGATCGTAGATCGTAGATGGGGCGCTGCGGACATGGATCTTTCCCTATCTACCTACATCCTCTCACCTGCCCTTGGAGTTAGGGCCCAGTCAGAGACAAGACTCGACAGATCCCCGGCAAGGTAGGAAGCAGGTTGACAGACGCCATTCCCTTTTTGAGGATTGATTCCAGTTCTTGAGTCTCAGAGAGTCCTGACAATTCCGGAATCAGTTAGTCGTCTTCGATCGGTACGATAACCGGATGTCAGCTAGTGATAGGCTCGATCGGTAGGATCCGTTGGCGGAGGGGACTTGTTGTCATCGTCGTGTGTATGAAATTGCCAGGGACTATCTTACATCCTTCCTGACTGAAGTTGCCCTGTGAGGAGCAGGAAGAGATCTGTTCTGAACAAGGCCTCGGCAAGGCATTGGTCCAGTCCACGTAGAATCCTCGAGGCGTTGTGAGATACCTGTATTCGCCTACCATCAAGACGCCCATTCACCAAAACACATCGAGAAGACCCGGCCTCTAAGGAACCCTGCCACTTATCCAAGAAGTAAAATCCCAGTCCCGCCATCCAAAGAAAGCGCCGAGCTCTCATTCCCACTCGCAAAGTTAGCCCCGTAGCTGGCCCTCGCTCTTAAGTCCGAACCCCCTACACAATGTCCTCACCTGACTCCAGTTAACCCTGCTCATCATTCACTTCTCCCCGCCGCGGAATGACCTGCCTCTCCTCCGGTGTCCGATCTCTGGTCCACTTCTGCAAGTCTTAAGCTATCGCCCCCCTAAACTAGCGCACGGTAGCATTTCTCGCTGAGGCCCCATCCACCGAACACCTCAAGCTGGTCGTCCAAAAGAAGCGATAAACCAAACTCTTTTACCCCCAAAAAGGGACCACACGATGCCCTCTTCGGTCCAATATCCAAAACCCCCACTTACCACCCACTCCCTGCAGCTTGCTATGCCTCCGGATTTACAGAGAGATAATCCCGCGCGCCCATGACAGGGCTTCAGGCTTCTCCCTCCGCATGGTCTGACTCTCCAGGGTTACAGCGCAGTCAATCATGGGAGATCCGAGCTTAACGGTCCCTTTCCTATGGGTTCGACCCGACATCTTGGTCCAATGGGAGTCTGTGGTTTTACGAGTTTCCACCCTTGCGTCGACGACGGATGATCTTCCTGGGATCCGCGGGTTAAGCCGTACCGGGGACTACCTCACTGGCGATAGGCGCCTTTATTCATACGTCGTGATATTGATATTTCATGCTCGGTACCAATAATTTGGTGAATGAATTGCCATGTGAGTCCTTCATTCCGGTGGACGATGCTCTTTTCCTGTCTTGGCGATGTGTTGGGAGCAAAGTCCCTCGAGTTGGACGGAGGACCGAGTAGATAAAGGACCGTTCGTCCCACAGAGCGGGAAACAATGATGTAGGATCAATGGCAACACAAGGACTTCCTTGACGCTCTCTCTCTCAAACAATCTATACAATGGACGTAATCTACTGCCTCGTCTCCTCCTGGCTCGGCCGCTTGGCCTACACCCAGCTCCAAACCAAGACTGCCCTCTTCACTCTTCTCCCTGCTGCGTCCCGGTTAACAATCTTCCTATGCCTCTTCTTCATCCAGTACTCTCTCCTCATCTTCTACCGCCTTTACATCTATCCCAACTACCTCTCCCCCTTCCGCCATCTCCCGGGACCAAAGGTAACCTCATACCCGCGACCCCCACTCGTACCCAAACAAAGAACAACCATTCCTCACACCTAGTCCTAGGACAACCACTTCCTCCTCGGCCAAACCCTCCGCCAGTTTCTCTCCGGAGATCCAACCCAACCCTACGTCTCCTGGATCCGCACCTGGCCTAACGCCGACCTCATCCGTTACACCTTCTTCGGAAGCACACCCGCCGTACTCGTCGCGAGCCCCGAGGCATTCCGGCAGATTCTGCAGCCGTGCTGTTACGAGTTTACGAAGCCGGCGTGGTATTCGCGGCTTATCTTTCCCATTGTCGGGAAGGGTTTGGTGTTTCTTGATGGGGAGGATCATAAGCGCCATCGAAAGGTGCTGAGCGGTATGTTCATCGTTAGGTGTTTTGATTTAGAGGAGTAAAAGAGTGAGGGGAAGAGAGAGAGAGAGAGAGGGAAACTAACAATTCCTCATCAGGAGCCTTTGCGCTTTCACATCTTAAACAATTGATCCCTCTCATCGAGAACAAGGCCATCGAGCTCTGCAACCACTTGGACTCCATGATCGAATATGACCGCGGCGTCATAAATCGTACGTTCTCCCCCTTCACCTTCTCTCCTGTTCTCACAAACTAACCTAATCCCAAGTCATCCCTCCCCTCTCCAGAATCACCCTCGATGTAATCGGCTCGACAGTCCTCGGCACAGACCTCCAAAGCCTCGACTCTGCAACGCCCTTCCACGAGATATACCAGACCGTCTTCGACCCTCCCATCACGGGACTGATACTCACGGCCATCAACTCCATCGTTCCCATCCGGTGGATTTCCATCGGGGAGAATCGCAAGTTTAATCGCGCCATCTCACGGCTTCACGAGTTGCTGAGGCAAATCATCTGTGAGAGGATCGCGGATGTTGAGAATGAAAAGGTGCAGTTGGCGGGGAATGGGAGGAGGGATCTTTTGACCAGAATGATACAAGAGTCACAGGCTGTTGGGGAAAATTGGGACGAGGATGACTTGATCGGACATGTAAGAAGTCCCCTTCTCGATGAGGAAAATGAGGGCAACGTGATAACTAACCTGAGGGGGGGAAAAACAAACAGGTACTCACATTCATGGCTGCCGGCCACGAGACGACTTCTAATACTCTGGCTTGGGCCATTCACTATCTAAGCCTGAACCGACCCCTCCAAGCTAGATTGCGAAAAGAAGTCATCGATGCTGCCGGACGAACTGGGTTCGACATGGATTACAGCACCATCGAGCGCATGCAGCTCCTCGACAATATTTTCCACGAAGTCTTGCGCGTCAGAAGCTCCGGTAAAAACACCTGAATCCCCGCTGTCTCAGGTACACATCTAACCGCCTCTAGCAACGTTCGCAACTCGGGAACCCATTCGTGACACCGAAATCTGCGGCACCGTCATCCCCAAAGGAACCACGATCATGCTCATGCCCAGCGCCATCCACCAAAACCCCCGCATCTGGGGCGACTCGGTCGACGAGTTCGATCCCGACCGATGGGATCGGCTCGAAGGCGAGGCAGCCAAGTCGCATGCCTTTGCGGCGTTCCTGATGGGGCCTCGTGGTTGTATCGGGCAGGTGTTTACGAGGCTCGAGTTTAAGATTATGTTGATTGCGGTTATTCGAAGGTTCGAGTTTGATGCGATTGAGAAGGGGGAGGTGCCATTGGTGAATCCTAGTGTGGTTCTTAGGCCGAAGGGTGGGTTGAGAGTGTTTGCGCATCGGTTGCCACCTGCTGGTGAATGAGTCGAGATATTTGCTGATTTACGGGGGGTGATCGTCGGCGTCCTTCTCTTTTAAGCGCAGTATCGAGTAGGAAGATTGCAAGATTTGATGTGAGATGAATATTTCTCAATAAATATCCCACAGGCTGACCTTCCCATCCTTACTTCCCGCAGCGATCCAGTGTGCCGTCCTGGCCTGGTTGATTCTTCTATCCCTGATATTGAAACCTGCAAGCGAACGACTTTGGGAGACAGATACAACTTGCTGGCCCCGCTGGCTTTCCGAGGCTTTGCCATTCTCATTTCCCGGGCCACTGGTTATCTGCAAGGCGGAGCTGCTCGACGTCGCGGGGTTGATGGTGGCAAAGGCGACGGCATAACAGCCGGACTGGTGCCATTTTAACACGGCCACTTCTTTCAAGGACTTGGCCGAGTATACTCTGACTTTGGAGTCCCAGCCAGCTGTCGCGAAGATGGTTCCGTCGGAGCGGATTTTGAGACCCTGTTGGCCGGAGTGTTTGGTGTTGACGGATTTGAGAGGAGCCGTGACTGGTTCGTGGGCCTTTTGCTCAGGAGCTTTTCCTTTATCCTTCTCGGTATCTTCGGGAAAGGAACTACTTGGAGCGCCATCTTGAGGGATTGGATGCTTCGCAATAATGGCATCCGCGCTTGACGTGATGAAATACGAGAAGCAGGGCGAAACGTCAAAGGAAAGAATGGGTTGGGAATGAGCTTGGTGTTTGTACAGGGTGATCCACTCCCCCGCGTCGAGGTTCGCTCTCTGGACCACTGCTGCACCATTCTCGTAGGCCGTGATAAGGTGCAGACTTCCGTAAAGATGAAAAATGGATAAGGCCATGGGCATTCCCGCACCAGGTAACGGCTTCAGGGTGTGGATGCGACGCTGGCTTGGCAGATGGTAGATGTCAACCTTCGACGGCGCGAGGTTAGTATTGATGATTTAGGATGAGTTGAAGTGCAGGGGAACTTACTCCCTCCAAGATGACCGGGTTTGCCGCTGCTACGAGGACTTCATCGGACTCCGAGATACTTTGATCTGCCTTGCATGACGCCATAGCAAAGGAACAGAAATTCATAGAATTAACTGCAAGTACGTGCTGGATCCATGGCTTAGGCCGATCGGGCACATTGTCCAGCGGTGGAGCCTTGCTGAGTTTGGGCTCATCCTCCTCGGAGAACTTCCAGATGATGAGCTCGTGATCTCTTCCGTGACTACATCGCTGTCAGCTGTAGCCCCCTGATGCTCCGAAGAACTAAGGAAAAAAAAAAAAAGGGGGGGGGGGGGGGGGGGAATTAAGTTGGCAAGGAGGATAGGAAGAAAGGTGAAAGACCTACGTAACAAGCCTCTCAGGGCTCCATTCCTTGATGCCGAGAACTGTCTTCTGATGAGCCCTCCACACGGCCTTTGGGCGCATGATGGAGAGATCCCATACGATGAGGTAGCCGTCGGCATCCGCTGTCACCAGCCTCTCGTTGTTCCGAATAAAAACGGCGGCATGGACCTGGGCCTTGTGGCCGCGGAGGATGGCCTTTGGTTGTGGTGGAATTGAAGGGTCCATGGCAAGCCTCAGGGCTGGGTACGCAGAGCGTTAGGCAGAAACGTTTGTAGGATGGAGTTAAAATTGCTTCTCTCAAACCGGGCCGGGACTAGTCGTGATGGTATTACGGATGGGTGCAGCAATGTGAGTTGATGAGCAGAAGAGCTCTGATCTTGGGTCTTCACCAGTGGCGTCGATCGATGGCGGCTTTGGTCTCGTACGTTTTACTGTCAAAATCCAATCACATTAGTGGCTGGGCCACTTAGTCACCCGCCATTCAGCGCCTTGATTCAGCGACTCCCACGCTAAAATTGGCGCGTTCTCGTCGCCTTGGCACTGCTCCACGACTTCTATCACGTCCTCCGACTCCGCCATTTTCGGAGGTCCCGGCCATCTCTCTGCATGAAGCCCGATGTGCCGGAGGAAAAAGAGTGCCGGACCCGGCCGAAGCGCGGTTTCGAAGTCGGAGCCCGGGGGAAAGAATGGGGCGCCGCTTCTCGGACGGCCCTAGCTGTGTGTGTAACCTATGTGAAATGGCATGATTCACGTCCGTCGTCTTGCATAGGGTCCGGTAACATCGTAGATCCGAGACAGCGGGCCTAATAGAAAGAGAGACATCAAAATGAGGCAGGTGCAGAGGTGCTCTGTTTCATCCAGGACCTCCAGCTTCCCCATGCGCCTCTGAAAACATTATCCATATTTGGGAACAGATATGTATCGTCATGTGCTTGTACGGGGCGTGCTGGCCATTCAGTTATCCGAAAATGTTTCCCACCAGCATTCTCTGACATTGATCCTGGCTGCCATCTAACAGGGTCTCTTTCCCCCCTTCCTATTTTCCTGCGTCTTGGGCGAAACCCCTTCAAGTTGAAACGAACAAAACATGGGCAGATAGGCGGCTATCAAATCCAGGTAGATACTCGCATACAGGACAAGCTCCCCTCCGTCTTTCGGACATCTTCGCAGTGACTGGGGTGGCAAAACATTATCTCGGTGTGTTTGAGATAAAGCAGGACTCGCCAGTTTCGGCTGAATTCTTCATCGAAAATACTATCCTCACATGTTTCGGTCTCTTTTTGCATTTCCAACTTAAATTTCCGGACGGGACGGCAGAACATTGAACCACCAAGACGGCAAGGGGGTGCGGTATGCAGCAGGCCGGGGAATTTTTACAACCCGGCCCAGTGTGTTTATCTCAGATGTAGGTCCACTTCGTGGTCGGGGTTTAATAGCTGGCTTATTACCAAGCACCGCGGACGGTGCATGTCTTACTGTTGATGGGTTCGAGGCAAGTAATATCATATGCAATGCGTTGATGAGAAGCGGTTCGTTTGACATTCCCATTCCGAACACGCATTGCATTTATTTTCATCGAGCCACCTTGCGGCGCTGACAAGGCGGATATCAAAGAAGCCGGCACGAGGTTTCAACGTCTTGGTCGAGGCGCGGACAAAAGCCGAAAGACGAATGAAGAGATCAGATTGTCGAGAGAGAAAAGGAAAATGGAGAGGCAAGAAGAAGAAAAAAGACATATCTATGATATTCTGGAAAAGGCATAGAACAATTTATCTCAAATCATCAAACTCACCACGGCGATTCCTCGGTGACCGCTGGTCGGATCGATGAGATGGGATTGGTCGATGGGAGACAGGATGTACAGCGAAGACGAAGATCATGGTAGGTTTTTCTCAACAGAGAGGGAAAGCTTCCAAATAGAAGGAAAAGGCCTTGGAGTCGCCCCCTCTGCCATGGAGATGGTCCGAGTGTATATGTTGGATCGACGGGCACGCAAGGACAGGATACTGGGCAACTGTGATGGAGATCAAACAGGTTCGAGAGAGCCCACGCGGAGAGCAAACACTGGTGAGCGTGGAGCTCATGTTCCTGATTTAGGATTCTGAACTGATTAGTTTCCGCATTTAAACATTGAAGAGCGGGAAAAGAAGAAGGGCAAATAAAAAAAGCTCCATGAAATGAATCAAAAATTGGCCGAGAAAATCTTGGCAAAATATGGTCCTGCTCTGCAGAATTCGCGGAAAGAAACGATGTATTGGGTGCTGTTCAATTGGAAGAAAGGACTGTGCAGCGGACGAAACGCCGGGAAATTGGAGCCCATACTCCTCGGGCAACGCAACGGGTTGCAGGCGACTGGGCTTAAGTTGTAATGATGGACAGGTGCCGCAAGGCACCGGCAGGCGGTTCGTCTGCGAGCGCACAGCATCGGAACTGCGAACTGAAATTGGAAGAGCCAAGCCCTCCAGGCGTCACTGAGCGCCGAGTGCTGGAGCTAGAAGTTCGGGGTGAGTTTGACTCTTTACACACTAAAGACCCGAAGCCTGATTAGAGTTAAACGTTGACCCTGGGGCCAGGCCAAGTGTTTGATTTGGCCAGGCTAGCGCTTCGAGTAGGACTTCTTCATGGAGTCTATTTTCGTCAAGTTTCGAGATGGATTCCCGTGATGCAGCATGGACGCAAGATCGTGCCTTCCTTCTCCTTTGAACGAAGTGTCCAAGCTCGGGCGTGGCTGAATGCAAGTTGTACTTGCATTAGCCAAGTGGTGCCAGCGTCTATCAGTTGGCGTAGGTAGTCCATGTACCTCGTACCTGGGGCTGAAGGGCGAGGATTTGCAACTCAAGCCGAAGCACATCTCTGACAGGGTCGGCTCCACTGGCCGGTCCCAGAATGCAATGGGTCAAATCAAATCTCGCTGCCGGATCTCAATCTCAACGTTCCTCATTGTTGTCGAAAGGAACAGGGTCGATCTCGGATCCGGTTGATCGTTCTGCCTGTATGGGGTGCAGAGCTAGAGCGGCAAACCCTTTCTTTGCCGCATCGACTGTTTCTGTCTCTTGTTGTTTCTGAGGTTCTGATGTTCCAGAAATAGGTCTAACCTAGCGGCTCTTGGCATCGACTCTCGAGCAGTCCCATGTTTTAACTTGAAGAGAGGAGATCCTGGGCTGGACTGAGGTGGTGCATTGGGAAATGCGAATAATTGCTCAGATTCCGATGCCCAGGGAGCGCCTTCCCCACTCAGAAATCCATACATCATCAACCATGCTTGTACTTTGTATCGCCCCCAGTGCTTCCGAGATTTTGTTGCCTCTCAACTGAACTGCCAACTGGATGACCGTCTCTGGTTGCTTGGTTCTTGAACTGTTTTGGCCGGGTCGTCCCCTGTTTCCTTCTGTCGCTAGGGGTTCTGGATAAAGCCGACCCGTGTCAAGCCTTGTGCTTTCCCCCTCCAACGTCAAACCCCCGACTTTGGATGGCAACCAGAAGTTTTTTAACATCACCGCCGACCACCCTCTCTTAATCGAGCCTCGCGGTCACCGTCGCTGTTGCTGTCGCCTGAACCTACGTGTGTCGTCGTTCCTCCGGGGAAACGTAATTGTGCGCCGAACCCAACACTCGAGCAATAATCAATTGATCCGAACTCGGCGAATCCAGTTTGATTTCCAACCAGCGAGCCAAGAAAGACGCATGCAGATAAACGATAATAGAGCCTTGCCAGATCCATTCGAGCCAATTATTCCACCAACATTCTTTTCGATTTTCGACCTCTCTCCGTCATACACCACTTTCCGCCACAGAATTTAGTCGCAGTCTTGGATATCCTGTTCGTCTTGCCCGACTTCTCCATGCCCCCTCTTTTTCACTCGTCGCTGCTTGCGATACTTCGAGCCAGCTCGTGTGCCATGAGCGTTTCTGGCGGGGAAGAGGCAAGGCAATGGGGGAGGTCAATCGGCAAATGTGGGAGGTCTGCTAACGGATATCTACGACCAGAAACCCATCGCCTGCGGAAGACGAACGAAAACCGAAGTTGATTCCTTTGCGAAAGAACGAGATCTCGCCGACCAATCCTCGAATCCGTTACCGAAACCCTTGCCTCTGTTGATGTTGATCCGTCCAGCACCTCGAGCCTTTGAATTTGCCTCAAAGCAACTGGTTGCAGCGTCCCTGCTGGATCACAGAATCGCTCCCCGAGACCATTCCCCGAACGCATTTCTGGTGGATTACGACCGATGTATATCGACGTATAATGACCCTGCCTTGCTGAACTGGTTCACCAAGCAGGCCTTCCTCTGTCGTCCATTCTCTTTCGCTCGAGCGATCCAGGACACTGCATTGCCTTGACTGGCTACCTACCCTGGGCTGCGGAATCATCATAATCTCTCTCTCTCTCTCTCTCTCTTTCTCTCTCCCCTGTAGCTCCAGCTTGGTAATAGAGCTGTGGGCTAGGCGGCTTTGCTCCTCCTCCCAACAGTCCTCTTCGCCCTCGGAAATCACCGTCATGAAGACCGCTCTCCCCGACCGGCCCCTCGACATCTCCCCAACGAAGCGGCTAAAAATAATAGGTGCTAGACGTGGTGGAACCCTAGGGAGCGCAGACCACTCTCGTCATCGAAGCAGCAGCGTGCAGTCCCTCGCCACGATCGCCGATGAGTCCGCAAGTCCGAAGGAGGTGTCCGGCGCGGCGCCGACGGCCAAATCGAGACGGGTGCGCACGGGGTGTCTAACATGCCGCGAGCGGCATTTAAAGTGCGACGAGGGGGTGCCCGACTGTATGAACTGTCGGAAAAGCAACAGGGAGTGCAAGAGAGGCGTGCGGTTAAATTTCATCGACATTCAAGTGAAGAATCCTCCTTTATTACCCCCAACTCCCGACTGGTCTGGTAGGTCGATGCCTGCCCTGGGAGACATTCGCCGAAGCGAATCAAGGAAGAATTTGGGAGCTAACATTTAGGGGCTGTGTGTAGTACAATTCCAAGACGAGTCGAGACTTATTGCCTCTGAATATATTGGAGGTCTAAACCGTTACGACACTCGTGAGAAGCGGACACTTACGCCACCCCAGGAAAGCGATGTGGAAAATGCCCTGAATCTCCAAAGGCGCCAGCAACAAGAACACTACAACCACCACAGACGCTCGGCCAGCACCATGACCCCGATGAGCATGTGTGATCCGGCGAATGTATCGATGCGAGCTTCAGCACCGCCACCGGCGTCCATACGCTCTTTATCCACCCCAAAGACTTATCACGCAGACGGGTCACAGTCTGCCGACGTCTCGCAGATGCACTCTCGGAAAAGCAGCGCTGCATCATACCTTGCCGGGCCGCCGTTACATGCCGGGCCGCCGTTACACGCAGCTGGTGGTTTCGGTCTGGGTATCCAGCAACCGCTAGGGAACTCAAGGGATGATGTTATTCCGCGGACGAGATCGCCGGTGTATCGGAATGGCGACGCGGGCCCTACTTCATTACCTATTAATGCGCCTCTCATAGCATCCGCGTCCGAACCACCACCGCCACCCACCTGCGGCGGTAGCACAGACAACATGTCACTCGATGGCATGGTCACGCCGCCGCCGAGCGAGAAGGCGCTGGGCGACCGGACCTACCTCAACTCGCCCGAGGAAGTGCTCTACATGCAAGTGTTCGTCGAAGAGGTAGGCGTGTGGATGGACTCGATGGACAAGGAGAAGCACTTCAGCCGTCTCATCCCCTACCACAGCCTCAAGTCGCCCATGCTCCTCAACGCCTTCCTCGCCTGCGGCGTAAAACACCTCACGCTCGTGAACCCGGCCTACAACGACGACAAGGCCCTATTCTACTACGACACGGCCACCACGCAGCTCCTCCGCTCGCTGCAGAACCCGGACCGCAACACGGCCGAGTGCGCCACCACCGCCGTCGTGCTCAACGTCTACGAGATCATGTCCGAGAAGCCCGCGGCCCGCATGAACCACATCGCCGGCGCGCGTGCCCTCATCCGCGAGTGCGGGTGGAACGCCAAGAGCACGGGTATAGGCGCCGCGTGCTTCTGGCTCAACATCGGCATGGAGGTTCTTTCGTGTCTTGCTTTTAACTGGCAGACGGCGTGGGACCCGGATCAGTGGGGCGTCGATATGGATTTTACGCCGCCTGAGCCTCGTCGGGGTGGTCGTGGTGATGATGACGATGACCCGGACTCGAGCGCGACGGACGACCAGATTGGTAAGGAGGAGATTTGGGTGCAGCGCATCTTTTATATCGTGGGTAAGATTGCCAACTTTCGCGCGACGATCCCGAAGTTCCAGGAGGCTTCGCCGCGGGATGAGCAGGTCAGGTTGGGGAACAGGTTGGCGCAGTGGAGGGAGCTGAAGAGGTTGTGCGACGATTGGAATAGTGCTTGCCCGAGGACGATGCATCCTTTTGGGTATTTGTACCCGTCGCAGACCGACTCCAAGTCGGCGTTTCCCAACATTTGGTGAGCCCAACCTTTTTCTTCCCCTATTCTTTATCTCTCTTCTAGGTCGAGCGATGCGAAGGTTTTGTTGCGTGTACGTAGCTAACTGTAGAGGTATCACACAGGCTCATCAAGCGCGCCGCCATCGTCGGCCGACTCTTCTACCACACAGCGCAATGCCTCCTCGCCCAAACACACCCCCTCGAACCGGGCCACGCCTCCGAAGAAATGCGAGCTACCCAGCTCCACCACGCGCACCAAGTGTGCGGCATCGTCGCACACGTCAAGGACCGGGGCGTGTCGTCTGTGGCGATCCGCAGCCTCGCCATCGCGTCGAGCGTGTTGACGGACCCGCGCGAGCAGGACGAGGTGCTCGAGATTTTGCAGAAGATTACGAAGGAGTCCGGGTGGGGGCTGGGGAGGGTTATGGCGGAGCTTAAGAAGGCTTGGGGGAGGGATGAGGTTGGACCTGGTGCTGGTGTTGGAGCTGGAGGGGGAGGCGGTGTAGGTGCGGGCGATGGGGGGCTGGCTGCCAAGTTTTTTGGGCCGGGGCAGAGTCCCGGGCAGAATCCGATTGCGGTAGTGCGGCAGAGTCAAGCTGGGCAGCATGTTCCTCCGAATCAACCTCAGCAGCAACCTCGGCAGCATGTGCATCAAGAACAGCATCATCATCACAACCACTATCGCCATCACCAACAACCCCAGTATGAACATGGGCCTCAGCACAGACCGATAACGCATTCCCAACAGATCCATGTCCCGACATCTCAACAGCAGCAGCAACACCATCATCATATGATGAACAACGCCACGCAACCGACGCACTCGCAATCGCAATCGCAGACGCCCATCGTTGCCCCGTCGCCGATGAAGGCGGCTGTCAATCCGTTATCGTTTGCGGATTTCAGCTTGCCGAATCATCCTTACCAGAATTGGTATGAGCCACCGAGTCGGGCTACGGCCGCTGCTGGTTCTTTTAGCCAGCCTTTCTTCTAGGGTTGGGATGGGCTGGGGTTGGGAGGAGTGTTGATCTATTTCTTTTCTTTTCTTGCTTTTGTGGCTTTTATCTTACGACCAATGAGCGAATGAGCGAATGAGCGATAGCATTTGATTTGGGGGAGGAAAAGGGAAGGAAAAGGAATACGTGGAGAGTTCACATTGGGACGAGCACTGGTTTGCTGGCGTCTCGGGCGGTGTTAAGTCTCGAACATTTAGATGCGCTTGGGCATGTGGACTTGCTTGGTGAGCGCTCTGTGTAGGACGGGGAGTTTTGTGTAGAGTATAAAATATCAAATGGAAAGGAAGTTTTGACTTCTGCGTTTCGGATCTTTGCTGCTGATGTGTGATGCCTTCGCGAATGCCTGTTGTGCTGATAGATTAGGCTGGAGAGGAGGGAGGGAGCGAGGGAGGGAGGGAAAAAAATTGAAGATTCAACACAACACGTTTTAGACATCCTTCGTATTCTAATGCCATTGTCGTCGTGAATTCGTTCGTCGCTCTTTATTTGTCTATTTCATTCTATAAAGCAATAGAGAGGTGTGTGTATCAATCCGCTGTCGTCCCAAGGAAACGTTTTGTAAAGAGCAACTCGTCTAATCAAACCATCTACGCTGTCACTGACTTTTTTTTGCCCCCTGTTTTCTTCTCTTCGTCCTCTCCCTTCCCTGGTATAGTTCTACTGGAGACCGCATCCTTGCTCGCTTAAGCATTGCCGTTCACCTTGCCATTCACGCCATTGACATTGCCATTAATGTGGCCGTTGGCAGTGCCGTTGACGCCATTAACGCCATTAACGCCGTTGACACCGTTGACACCGTTGGCCTTGCCGTTAACACGCTCAACGATGACCTCGCCATTGACCCTCTCGGTCATGCACTCCTCCTTCTCAACAGCCGGATCGGGAATGGTCATGCCGTATCGCTCGTATGGAAAGTTCTCCAAAGTCGCCAACATGTCAGCCCAGCCATCGCCAAGCTCGCCAAGCTGATGCAAATCGACGTCGCCCGCCTCTCCGGTCCTGCCAGCCAGCACCTCCGCCTCCCTTCCGCTGTACTCCTCCAACAAACCGTCGTGCGGCACCCAAACCACCCTCATACCCGCCCTCCTTCCAGCCTCGACACCAGGGACGCTGTCCTCAAAGACGAGGCACTCCTCGGGCTTGACGGGAGGTTCGCCCTCGGGCAAGCTCTCGTTGATGGTCCTCAACGCCAGCAAGAAAATATCCGGAAGCGGCTTTCCCCTCCCCTTGGCGATGCGGGGATCATCGCCCAGCACCTTCCTCGGCGACTCGAACACGCTAAACAGCTCGGTCAAGTGGTCCGTCTTCAGCTTGTAATTCGTCGTGTGCGAGCTCGTCGCAAGAGCGATGTGTACTCTCCTCCGCGAGTCCTCGTCTTTCTTCACCTCGAAGTAGCGGGTGCGGCCGAGGTCGGAGAGCAGCCTCGACACGCCGGGAAGGGGCTCCGCGAGGGGGAATAACCGGCGCTGGTGCGACGAGAGCTGGCTGATGTACTCGGGTTCATCGATGGGCAGGTTGGCCCAGTCTTGGAAGAGGCGGGCGGCTTCGGGGCCGGGGCGGCCTTGGAGCTTGGCTTTGATGGACCAGGGGAGGCGGGGGCGGTTGTATCGTTCGAGGACGGCGTTTATGCAGTCTGTGTAGAGGTCTTCGGTGTTGAGGAGGAGGCCGTCCATGTCGAAGAGACAGGCCCGAATTGGGGGGAAGCTGTTGGTGAGTTTTGGGTCAGTACTGGTCTCTCTCCCTTGATTGAAGGGATAACATGGGGTAAAGGTAGGGGATTGGACGTACTCTGTTTTAAGAGTCATTGTAGCAATAGATGAGGTTCGTGATATAATTGGTAAGGGGATGTTTGGTGGTGAGAATTTGCGTTGCAGTTGGAGAGTTAAATGGGGGAACAAGTTGGGGAAGTGGGAGGAGCTTTATAGCTTGGCTGGTGAAAGGGTTCGACCTCGTATTGATGGAATGTATTGATGGAATGAGCGATCAAGGAACAACGAAGGAGCAATGGAGATTGAACAATGGAGGAGGGTGGCCCCGGCTTTCTGGGGAAATGGAAGGAGCTATAAAGCCTGGGGAATGGAGTGTTCTGTTGAAGGAAGGTGGCTCCGGCCTTGGCTCCGAAATGCGCTTGCGTTGTGACTAATATTTCTAGCGAGCCCGACAAGGGGAATTCTCGGTGCCGTCGGTGTACAATTGTACCTCGTCGTGTACCTTTGACACTTTCTTCGTATCCTTCAGATGCCACGACGTCGCTCTTTCTTCCTCCTCGGTAAGCGGGAGAGAGATATGCCGGAAATCGCAGGCAGGCACGACCGGGGGACAACAAGCTTGATGACTCGAATTAAATTTGGGGAAGGCGGGGGCGGGGTAGATAGAAATATTTTTTTTTTCTCTTATCTCTCGTCTCTCACCCTTCTCGCCTTTCCTCTTTTCCCTCTGCCCTTTTTCTCGTCCTCCGTCTGTCAAGTCTCGCGTACCCGGGTCAAGATTGCGAATCCCGTCGCATCAAATTTTTTTTCCTTTAATCAATCGCATTCGGCCCATCAAGGTCTTGCTGATCCCGGCTCCTCTCCGGACTGGTCCATCGAATCGACGTTCCTACACCGAGCTAGTCCTCTCCGGCGATAGCGCCAAACGCTTCGACGTATTCTAGGTCCAATGCTAGGTCCAGGGGGATCTTTGCCTGAGGTCATAGCACGTGGAGCCAGCCTGCCCAGCCTGGCCTGGCCTGGCCTGGCTACAGCTCCACTACTGCAACTGCTGAGGCCTGGCGAAGCACGCTCACAACGCTAGAGCAGATTAAGCACACGCACAAGGTCTTGGTAGTCTTGGGCTGCCGTCATGGATCAATCCTCTGCTGCCGATTAATCTGTCGTAGGGCTCAACTCCTCAGACTCCCCCCTGCTCCCTTGTCCCAACCGGACCGACGGACCCTTCGAAAAAGGACATTGGATGGTTGCAGCTTGAAACCGAGGGAACGCTGGACAACTCGACGACAGAATCTTCTGTGCTTAGGTTGTGCTCATCTCGCATCAATTTGATCCAATCTCGTCTCACAACGTCATCACCACTCCTGGCTCCGCAATCCCATTCCTCGCTCGACTTTCGAACACACCCTCCCTGCACGTCTGCCGATATCGAAACGAAAAACGCCCTCACCTCGAAAAAAAATACTCCCCGGAACAGAAAAAGGAAACAAGCTTCCCTCGGCTCACAATGTCATCATCCGCAGCCCCTCAAACTCCACCTCTCAGGGACCCCGACCTATCACTACCCGATCCCCCCTCCGTCACCGTCCCTGTACCTGACGCTATCACCGCTACCGCCGAGCCAGCCGACGACCAGCCATCCCTAGCTTTCACCCCCGAGGAAGAGGCGGTAAGGGCCCCATCAAAAAATACAAAAACTCAAACCATTTTAGTTCCGCATTGCATCACCGTCATCATCAGCACCTGCACAAAACGTACATCCAAATCTCTTAGCCCAATGCCATGCGCTAGTCCGCTACAACCCTGTTATCTGTCCCCCCTAACACCCTTGACATCCTTTGTTTCCCGCCTCCGCTTCCGCTTCCGCTTTCTCCCGCTCCACTATCTACACGATGGACCCCAAATTTCTTTCTGTTGCCCGTTCACGACGAACAGACGACCGGGGAAGATTGTGACACCCGTTTGATTTGGCAATGGACTTGTGCTTGCTTACTAACGTGCTAGCCAACACCTTTGTAGAACCTCCTCAAAGAATCCCTCGAGAGAAAGGCCGAGGCCAACCAGTTGTTCTCCTCTAAGCGGTACAATGACGCCCTGGCCAAGTATGACGAGGCCGTCTCCGCCTGCCCGCATTATCTCGACTACGAGATTGCCGTGCTGAAATGCAACGTCTCGGCGTGCCACTTGAAACTAGAAGAGTGGAAGGACGCCATCGATAGCGCCACCGCCTCCTTGGACGCTTTGAATCGCGTCGAGAAGAAGGATGCTACCGAGGTCGGCGAAAGCCCAGGCGGGGAAAAGGACGGCGACAAAGAAGATGATGCCGTGGAAGAGGAGATCATCAGCGCCGGAGCATCCAAGGCCGCCCCTGCTCCGGAGGCCGTCGATCCTGTCAAGGAAGCCAAGAAGAAGCGTGCGGGGGACATCAAGAGGATAAGAGCAAAGGCTCTGATGCGGAGAGCGAGGGCTCGAAGCGAGCTTGCTGGGTGGCAGAACCTTGCCGGCGCCGAGGAGGATTACAAGCTATTGGCGACCATGGATAATTTGGGCCCGGCTGACAGGAAGATTGTGCTAGCCCAGCTGAGGACCCTGCCTGCCAGGACGAAGGCGGCTCAGGAGGCTGAAATGGCGGAGATGTGGGGCAAATTGAAGCAGGTGAGTGCTCTGCCTTGTGCGTCCCGACTAGACAAGAGTCGGTCGGCTGACAGGAGAGTCCATTTTAGCTGGGCAATGGTCTCCTACGCCCGTTCGGTCTCAGCACGGATAATTTTCAGTTTACCAAGGATGAAAAGTCGGGAGGGTACAGCATGAATTTTCAGCCCGGCGGACCCAGCTCATAGGTGAATAATATATCTAATACTGTATCGACGGGCGAACCCGGCACTACATGCGAATCTTCCATCCCGCTTCACGATCGACGTCTTTGGGATGCGTCTGGTGCAACGTAATAAGGTCTTGATTTATAACAACTTTCTTTAAATTAATCACAGAGCTAAATCCCCAGAACAATCCAGGCTTCCCTATTCCCCATCCATTTTTATTATTTCACTTTCGCCCCCTCTTTCCCTTCCCCCGTACTCTCTACAACTCTTGCCCAAGATGTCATACTTATCTGATGTATTATCGTATCACTGTCACCACATTTCAATCGAAGGGGGGAAAGGTCAATGTTTACCGAAACTAAAAGCTTCTATTTACCTGCCCCTACACATGCTTGTCTCGAAACCCTCTACCTCCCTCTCATGCTGCCAGACACCCGCCCGGTATCAGCCCATAGACCAACAAAGAACAAGAACAAAACGAAAGAAAGCTAAAGTGTCAACAAAGGAAAGAAACCAAACAAAGAAAGATGAAGAAGTTTGTCGGATATTACCCCTGTGGTGGGTGTCAATGAGAAAGGGAAATAATCGGAGGGGCAGAAGGACATTTATTACTTCACCAATCCGTCAAGTCGATGATCCTCCCTCGCCGAGGAGGAGGACAGTCGGTCATTTTATTTTAGCGTTGCCCTTTCGTCGAGGGCGGCAATCTTGTTTGGAGACTCTTCACATCCTCCTGGAGCATTTTCATGTTGTCTCTTCTCACCTCGTCGGACAGGGTCATTCCCCCTCCCCTCGTTGGCAGTCTCCACAGGAGGCCCGTCCACATCCATGGGGTCGCCAATATCATGCCCATCATCCTGAATGATACCAACGTCCATGTCCACCGACCTTGCGACCTGCTCCTCCACTTCTTGTTGATCTCGCTGCTCCACAGGAATCCTAAGCTGAATTTCCTCCCTCAGCCTGTTTACTAATAGCGTGCGTGCTTAGGAATTGGCTTAACTCGGCAACAATAACGTACATGTGTACCTGCGTAGCCGCTGACGTGATGGTTGATCATTAGTCAAGCCACTGCTGGAAACGGATGCAAACTGTTTCCGTCGGCATTTTGCTTTTGACTCGGCCAACCAACTAAGAGAGTGTTCCATTATTGTTTATAAATAGCTGCTTAAGTGCCTGTCTTCCCGCAGACTTTGTCTCACTCCCAACATGGCATCGCGCTGTAGCAGCTAAAGAACAGCTTCATCATGGCTGGGGACAAGATTCTAGTTTTCGGCGCGACCGGGCCTGCGGGCATCGCCCTTCTGCGCGAGTTGCTCCATCACAAACTTCAAGCTCTCGCTTACTGTCGAAACCCTTCCAAGATCCCTGAGGACCTCGCATCTAATGCCCTGCTTGAAGTAAGTCCCTCGGCAAAAGCGACGGCTTGTACCATGGTTTCTTACTGGTGCTGAACAGGTTGTCAAAGGGGATATGTCCCAACGGGACGTTTTGTCTAGAGCGATTGCGAAGTCACGGGCGATCATCTCACTCCTCGGACCCAGCGGCCCCCGCCAACCTAAGAACGCCGAGTTTGCCGACTACTATCGAACCATCGTACCGCTCATGAAACAACATGGAGTCCATCGAATCTTGGCCCTTGGCACCACAGCGATGTATCGGCCCGACGATCAAAGCTCCGTCTCGCGCGCTCTCGTGGCTACGCTTATCAAGGTCCTGGCAAACGGTGCATACCACAATATCCTAGCCATTCAGGACTATTTTGAGAACTTGAATGACAAGTCCATCGAGTGGACCGTTTACCGGGTGGGCAATCTATCCGGTACAGGCGATGCATCCGCGTGGTCGGTCGATCGTGAAGGAGGCAAGGCATTTGAGGGTCCTGTCGGAGCTCCTGGCTTCACCTCAGGCATAAATCGGAGTATCCTGGCCCGATGGCTTGTTGATGTAGCTACCGCTAGCCCCGCGAAATGGGTGCGTCAAATGCCTGCGGTCAGCAAGTCCGGCTAGGAATAAGGAACAATGTGTACAGCGGTTCGTCTTCATTAAGTGTCACGCGGGTAACCTTATGAGAATCGTCTGGTCAAATAGATTAATCTTAGTCTAGGCAGCCTAGGCAGCTGAACTTTCCCATTAGGGCAATAACGATATTCGTCACAGGCAGCTGCCTGCTTTAGACAACCCATTATCCCCCCATTTCCCAGCCGTCATATATTCCATTTAAAGACCCTCTATTTCCACGGATTAGTTAGACTTCCTTTGCAACCTGCCAGTGGATATGACGTGAAGTAATGTTTTCGTAATGTGTTTAAACGAATAATATAAATGGGAATTGGTCGAGAAGCCGGCGCTGGCCCTTACCTTCCTACCATGACGGAAGACGACGCAGAGATTCCGTGACTCTAGGTTCGTGGGTTTTACATTGGTCTGCATCATCTGCAACGTTCCAGGCCATGCTTCTAGCGTATTGTTCTTCCTCCTTTTCCTCGTCGCCATGTGTTTTTGCCAATCCAGGTCCTTTCAGGGTACAGGCACGCTTGAGGTAAATCTGCAAAATGCTACATGGTTTCTCAGGAACCCATGCCGGAGTGTTCCTCATGATCGCTACTTCTGACCACTGACCCGCCTCGATGGAGTCAATAGGAGGTTTATCTAGTACCATGAATTCTTGTAGCGATCACTATTGGCAATGCTCAAGGGCCGGTAAACAGCCTTGATATCCGTAGGGATGGAAAGGAAGGTGAGCTGCGAACCCACAATCGACAAGTGGTTGGCTGGATGGGGTAGTTTCGGGAGCGACACGCAATAACGGCGCATCATCTGTAAGAAGGATGCTATACAGTCCACCCCAACAGAAGCCACTAGCGCCCACCTTTAGTCTTCCGGTCTCGAAAGGCGGAGAGGTCTCGGGAGCAGACAGTCGGATGACTCACAGGCCCTTTGCCATCCGAAAAGCGACCATCAATGATCAATACGGCTTGAGAAACAGAGTCGTAAACCAGGCTGTTGAAGGTGAATTTATCTTGTCCATGTCCATATATAAACGACAAGCCGGCAGCACCGATTGGCATTCTTGATATAGGGTCAGCACGGTCCGCAAGACCAGACTAAGGAATCCGTCTAACTCCTCGCCGTCTTGGCCCAGTTTTGATGTGAGCAGCAATTCTCGTCTAGGCACTTCACAATAGCGTCTACATAGCTTTAAAATATAAAATGAGACTCAAAATTAGCCGCGGCTTAACCTTCAAAATGATGGTTTAAGAGAACGGACAAAATCTCACTTCTAGCCCTCTGAGAGCTCGTAGTTAGTATTCCGTCCGTTAACCCAACTTAGCCAATGGCTTGGGTGAACCCGGCGTGTAATTTACGTGTTGTTTAGAATAAAACCCTATGCAGTTTTTTTCTTTCTGAACCCTCAGTGGTTACAAAATAGTATCAATTTGCCTCCGACGGCCGCGTTGCTAGGACGGCAGCAGCGGCAGCGATAAGGGCATCGCGAATCGTTATGAGAAGACCTGTATTTAATGAAGGTTCACAGCTTCCTATAAGCTGATATTTCCTTGATTCTTTTATCATGCTCATCCAAGACTACTCTGCGACCTGACTGATCGCAGTAAACAGCCTATGCTCTAGCAAAACCTGAACGCATGTTTCTTAAGAGACACATCTGCATTACGGCGACCCAAATCTGAAGTTGAAGTTCTCAGATTTCAAGCTCTCTGGAGCAAACGGACCGTACGTATATGCCCTTTCACAAGATATTCCAAGAACTTCCGCAAAAACCTTCACTGCCTCAGAACATTGTGCAGGTATGTTACCCATTAACCCATGAACAATTTGCATATGATCCCCTGAGTCGCAAAACTTTTTGTATCTAATCTATAATTTATATTTTATGTAAGATATGCATTCAATAGGATGGAGGTTACGATGTTTGCTCACCAGATACTCCCTATCCGTCAGTCGCCCTGGCTGCGTATTAGCTGGCGAGCACTGGCCTTTAGACGTTGCTCCATGCAAATCCACGACATTTTGCGCGACCTCGACGATTCTAGCGCATCCATGAGATAAATTTTCAAGGTCACAGCCATGTTGGAGCCGAAGATTTTCAACAGCCCTCACGAAGCCGGCAATTAGTGATAAATCCACTTGTGCTTTGGTGTCGGAGGGGCTTTCGAGAATAGACGTGAAAAGCGTGATAACTGCGTATACAGCATGATACATTATTTGCCTGCCTAGCTTGTTAGGTAGAAAATTCCTAATTCGAAGGGATATACCTACCAGATGAGGCTGAATGGTGGTGGCGGCAGTTTCTGGACAAGCTGGAGAGTCGCCCGGGCTGCTGCGGCTGGGACCTGGGCAAGCAACTTGGCTTTGTCCTCGTTTGACTGCCCGAGACGGCTTGTCGCCATGTTGATTCTCCCAGCGGTAGTGTAATAGGTAAGGGTCTGCAAAAGAACTGGCATTTCGAGCTGTACATTACTTGGGTGACGATCATAAGTCGGTCTAATATCCGAGGGCAGGTCCATTTTCCATACATCGAGCTGGTGATTTAGCTCACCTATTGTCCTACGGAGCTGCGTGTTGTTCATTTTTAGGGCCCGCTGGGAGTAGAGTTCGGTGCAGATGCGCGACTGGATAACGGCAAGTCCCGCCATGCATCGTAGGACGTTCATCTTCTCTTGCGTGCCTGGTAGGGTGTAGTTGCCGAGGCCATCAGACGGGCCGTTAATAACAGGGAGCTTCAGGTCTATCTCACTGCCGAATGTGGAGGGTAAACCCTGCTTCATCATATGGTCGCTGTCGAGGCAATATGCAATCCAAAATACTCTCGTGCACTGCTCAGCAGTGATGGGGTCCAATTTCCCATACCAGCCTCTGGTATGTAGACCGGCAGCTTGTAGCACTCGCACGAGTGAGGAGATTATACTCGAAGTAGTGCGGGCATCCGCAGTTCCATGCATGAAAATAGCCATGGAAAGCAGTGCTTGGAAAGCCGAGACATCGCTGCCTCTGATGAGAAGCTCTGGGAAGATGGAGAATGCGTTTTTAAAATAACTCCAAGCTATTAGCATTAGCTCTCGACACGCATCGTGTTCTGTTTTCCACTGGATTGCTGTGGCGAAAAGAGCATTTACGATGGCCCACCTCGATGGGTTATCATCGCAGTTTCTCGGGCCGGCAAGAAACTGTTGCTGGAGCAGGCTCGAAAGAGACACCAAGGTGAAAAGCGGGTGAAAGGCGCTGATGTCGTCCAGTACGCCTGTCAGAAAAGGTTCGAGGAGGGATTGAGAATGTACAGGGGCGAAGACCTGTCTTCGGAATCCACTTTGGTTCAATTGAGACCGAAACAAATTCACATCTGATTGACTTCGTGGCAGGCCTGACAGTAACACTGGGCGGCGCTGAGATTCTTTAGTGGTTGAGACACGGAACTCTGTGTCATTTGTGGTATCCAGGGACTCTATGGTATCGGCTGATGCCTCTTGGTTTCCGAAAGCTGCTTTAGGAATGCGTTGTGTGCTTGCGGCCGAGACGACAGAGGAGGATACTTCGAGGGCAGTGGGAGGTCCGCCTTGCGAGCCGGTCGACATGCCTCCTGAAAGGCTCGCTAAGTGTCTCCCAGTTTCATTTGGGTCATCTCGGGCATCGAGGCTAGATGGCTGAGAGATCGCTGCCCTTTTTTGCGAGGGCTGAGCGCTGGGTTTTTTTTCAAGCGACGATTCTAGCTTGCTCAGCCGCTCCTCCAGCATCTGTACATATTGCTTGCTACCCGAAGTCATTCAGCTGGCCGAAAATATGGGCACGGTCCTGTCACTTACCTCTTCCCCGGGCCGCGTCTTCTTCGCTCTGCATAGTCGCACTGCACCTTCTGCTCTGTGCAAGGTGTGCAAGTGGGCACTTCTCCATCACATCGAATCTTTCGTCTCCGACATCTTAGACGGGCCTACTTCCCAGATTAGCCGTCCAGACCATGGCATATAGTATCAATTTCTATCATCAGAGAAGCATTTACACTCACACTTGTGATTCGCCTTCTGCTTCTGCCCCTTCCCGTTGTCATCTGCTCTCCTTCCATGGCGCGAAATGGTGCGGAATTGACTAATTGAGGGAATCTAGCCGGGCGGCTGCTCTCAACTCAGCTTCGTTGAAGCGAGCAGAAAGAGCAGAGGGACGCAGGGGTTAGCAACTACGTCCGTATTACTCAGCTGCACAGAGCGTTTCGAAAAGCGTAGTTTCGGTTCGGATGTTTTTTGTATCCGAAAACGCCAAAGAAGACTACGCTACGCCGCCTCAAAGGCCAATGACGCTAAACCTTTTCCGGTTCTCACTGTTGAATTGATCGTGATGACCAAGCAGCCCCACACGATGCTCTGAGTGCCACGCGGCCAGCGGCACTTGGCTGTAAGTAGCCCTATGTGGCCACTGCGCCCAGCTGTCCTTACATTATGTAGCGAGGTTGTTCCCGAGGTGCCTCATCCTGGCGGCAACCAGCCTCCGAGTTGGGTGCATCGCCGACTCGACGGCCGAGAAGAAGTCGGTTAGTTTGTTCGTGGTGCTTCAATGTCCTTCCCTCTCATCACGGGCGAGTGGAAGGTAGGCTCGCCGGGCAATATATGTCTACCTAAGCCACCTGTCATGCTGTCATGGTGGCGGAGCTGACGATGTTCGGAGGCGTCACTGGATCGGTTAAAATGGATCGTGTAATACCACACGGGACGCTTCGGGGAGGGGTCGGGCCTCGACAATCGGCCGTACTTTTTCGTGTTGACCAGGATTTCCCCATTGGATCTCTTTCGTCGTTCTATCTCTCCCGCTATGGCTTTGTTAAATTCAACGAACAACGGGGATCACGGAGTATTGCGGCATATTTTCTCGAAAGCGGACGTGGTTGTCCGTAACAGGGCCGCTTCATGGACCCTCTCACAGGCCTCGGCGCTTTATCCGGCGCCGCCCAGCTCCTGGATGCTTCAATCAAGTTTTCGCACAGCGCATACAGGTTCTTGGACTCGTTGAAACACGCGACAGAAGATATTCGTCTTCTGCGCAAAGGTATGTCCAGATACAGGCCCCCAATGCACCTGTAACCATCCCTAAAAATCACAGCGCTCCAGGAAACCGAGGTCCTCATGCGAGACATACAATCCTACACGGCCGAACTCCAACGATCGCCGCCATCCGCACTGGTCGACAGCGTGTCGCATGACTCCATCGTCCAAATCACGCAGCAATTTTCCTCGGATATGCAAGCCCTCCGCAATTACCTGCCCACCGAGACCACGACACCATCACTTTCAAAAAGGTTCAGATTTGCCATTGACAGGAGATCGATATGGGAAATCATACAGAGGTTAGAGCAACGGAAGAGTTCAGCGACTGTTGCGTTGGCAGTTATCGGCAGGTGAGGCGTAGCGAATACGTGCGTAGTAACATCTAGGCTTATTTCTTGGGCTTACTCGGGCGCGCGTAGGTTTCATGATGTCAAGCTGCGAGATGCAGTTCAGAGGCTCGGTGCTGGCAACTCGGTGATTTCATGCAGTCTTGAGGAACAACGTCGGGATATCCTCGCACAGAGTCAGAAACTGGAGGAGATTCAGACGTGGGTTCTGGAGTGCCTGAAGGGGAAACCGGCAGACCCTACGCCCGCCAATGTGCTTCATGGGCAAGTACAACCCACGGAATCTACGGTAAATCACCATCAGGAGTACTCTGAATGGCAGTTCACGACGGGCTGTCAAGACATACTTGCAAGGATCATCCGAGCCGAGTTGAGGCAGCAGTTAAAGCCCATCTCTGATCGACTCGCAGATGTGTCTGGGCTGATCGACGGCATTGCTGTAGCAAGCGCCACGCATTCAACCCAGTCGGCACCCATCTTCTCCCAGGTAGGAAAGCAGCCGAGTAGAATCGAGGTCAGACCGGTGAACCCAACGCAACCAAGCAATGCGGATCCAGGAAGAAGCCGAGAAGTGGTATTATCTACCACTCGCTATCGAGTTGACGCCAGATTGGCATATATCTATATTGGACTTGATGCGTATCGGTGTAAGGATAGCCTTCACTCTGAGAGCAAGCAGTATTTCCGCCTCGCGATACTCATTATTCCTCGACCACATCTTTGTTCAAGAGGCATTTCGTTGCTAGCGTCGTCTGGTCCTAAAGCGTGTGGTCATTACGAGATCTGTCCAAGTATCTTACCCATGCGCGTTGTCGAGGACTGGGATACATGGGTATTCCCTAAAGCTTGCGAGAGAGATGACGTATCCGAGTTTCGGAAGCTCCTCTCCACTGGAGAGGTTACTCTGCGAGATGTTACGGATTTTGGGGCCAACATCCTTGATGTGTGTCTATTAGCATCCAGACCTCATCTGCAGAAATCACTGACGCCGAATTAGGTTGCTACGTATTATGGTGCTTTCAAGACATGCAGATATATTCTCCACGAAACGGGGTCCGAGGGGCAGAGGCTTTTGGAGGGGAGACTTGGGTACGATAAATGGCGTTTCGCCCTCTTAGCCGCTTATATCCGGGAACCCTTTGTCCTGAAAGAGACTCTGCAGCTATTCCAAGGCTACAACTATTTCTTCGTTCGACGCCCCTTCATACACTCGATTTGGTCATGTATCTACCGGCGGCGGCATATCGTTGGTGTGGACTATGAAAGCATCATTCAACGTACCACCCTATTGATTGAGTTTGGTATTCCTCTTCTGCCGTTTCAAGGGATGGAAATCAATGACCCGGGCCGGAGCGCGTTCCTGCTTGACCTCTATCTGCGCACTGGCGGCGACCCAAATGGACTCGACGAACATGGCCGTCTAGGCATTATTTCCATACTGGAAGCCGTAGATTCACGGAACGACCCGTGCTCATGTCTTGGCAAGCTCATGTCTTTGATTCGAGCGGGAGCAGACGTCTACCACGTCCAGTCCGGAGACGATCCTGAAAGCGCTCGGACTCTCACTGACATCGCCTACGATTTAGACGTTGAGGATCTCTGGTTCGAGGCATTGGAACGCTGTGGTTTGAATGTGGACGATGTGTGCGATGAGTCTGACAGGAGATTGGAGGAACACAGGCGGCTGCACGGTGCAAAGCGGACTGGCGTTGATGTGAGTATTATAACTGATCGGCCCTATTCGGGTTTGAAGTACCGACGTAATGGGCGAAAGATAGCGAGCAATGATGATATGTAGACTCTGGAGGGATTTTCGGTGTCGTAGTACTATTTGGGACGGCATCAGGCTACCCCAACATTTGGTATCCCTTCTTCTTCTTCTTCTTCTTCTTCTTGGTTTTCCCTTCTTTTTCAAGCTATACTTCCTCTCTCTGCCACACATAACCTTGGTTGACTTGAAGAGTATCCCACCATCACGCACTCAGTTCAGCCCGAACCCACGATCGTGTTTGCATCGAAGTAAGAAAACTCCGACCCCGTAGCATCAGCGACCCGCTAATACGGCTCCTCCTCCGGCTCACCCCTAAACACCCTCTGCGCCTCGTGCAGAGCCCTCACGAACTCAACGATCTGCGCGCGAGTCTCTGGGTCGGCTAACTTCGTTGCTGTGCTCTGCAGGTTAACAATCTCGCGATATATGCTCCGGTCCTGGAACACGATAGTGTCCTCGCCGGGTCCGTTGATGGCGAACTGCGGAGTCTGCTCCCATAGCGCCAAGGCGTCGATGGTCCCGTTGACGAGTTGCTTGGGGAGCGAGTTCCAAGCACAAGGGGCCCGAATACAGGGGCCCCCGTACGTAAGTTCATAGTCTCCCGGTTCTAATCCCACTGTTCCGAGATACTTCTCGACGAAATACGCCGCCGTCGTGGTGGGGATCGTTCCGATTTTCTTGCCCCGAGGATCCTCGAGGGTCTCGATGCCGGCGTTTCGGTTCGCCACGATGCGATAATACGTCTCCGTTACGGTGTAGATGATGCGCAGGTCCTTGTTTCGTCCGTAGCTCTTGAGCGAGGGGATCTCGGCGTTGGTTCCGAGGGCTATGGTTGGGTCGGAGAGGGGCGCTGCGATGCCACCTTCGACGATTTCGGCGGGGCCGGTATAGAAGTCTTCGATTGCGATGCGGCCGGGTGTGTGTTCGATTGCCATGACGTCGCTGGCGATTTTGAGTGTGGTGTCGGTGCTGGGGGACTCATCCTTGGCTAGGACAGCGAGGAGAATCCTCGCGGAAAAGAGTAGTCGCTTCATTATGAAGGGTTTTCACGAGTCGCATGAAAGATATAAGGCCGTAAATCTAAAGCAAGGCATCTGCAGATGTACAGACGAGAAATAAAAGCATGGGATACAGAACGAACTTCGAATGAGAGAGAGGAACAGAACCGAGACTATATCCTGACCCTGCCACCCAACCCGCTCTACCCTGCCCAATACGCTCCGTTAAGGGATAAATTAGGAACATCATTTACTATCGTGAAAACCTCTGTCCTCTCTCTGCCCTTTCTAAATAGAGGACTCGTCATTCCCTGCGATGGCGCGAGTATTCTTGCGAACTCGTGAGCCGCACATCCGAGAAAGCCTGGTGTTGACTCCTCGCTCCATTGGTGGCGCCTCTACGTAGACCAGCAGCGAAATTTGCAAGATAAAGAGTCGCTATCTACCCGGAGGCAATGGCGCGAAGTCATCATTTGAGCCTTGATTGAAACGAAATTCGACCAAGGGTCCATGAGATATGAGAGTTCGAACTACCCTTCATATTAATGAGTGGGGTGATTCGTCCCGCTCCAGGGTTCTGTCCGCTATAACCGGGTGGCCAACACCGACAGACATTTTATCTAGACGTATAAAAATGCGATGCCGTTGAACAATATGCGAATGCTGTGTTATGATGCGACATAAAAAAAAAGAAAATTCCCAGGAAGCCCTCCCTGTACGCGGCCCCGTATTGGACGTCGTAAGATTCAAGACACCTCTGATATCTCGCCCTCTTGATACTGCCTCGGTTTTGCAGCAAGCCTCCTCCCAAATGGCGCCATCCACACATGGAACGCATTCGTAGCCTTCTTATCCCCGTTATCGGGGTCATCCAAGATCTGGTTCAAAAGGTTCATAACCTGACGGTTCGAAGTTACCGTTGTCTGCTCATGTACCCAGCCCTGCAAAATAGCCGAAATATTCATCGACTTAAACTTCTTCTCGTCCAGGTTAGCCAGCATCCGCGGCAAGGCCCCGGACTCGACCAACTCTTCGACTTCGGCGGGGCTCGGCGTTGACACGACCCTGATAGGTAACTGCAAATCGTCCGGGACGGTGTGCACCGATAACTTTTGAAACTCCTCGAGCAGGACTTTCCTCTCGGATTCGGAGACCTCGGTGCCTGGGGGTTCCTCGTCCGGGATGAGAAGTTTCGCACGCGCAATTTCCGTCTCCGTCCCGATATCCAAAACGGTGTTGAGGAAATTAACGGCCACTTGTTCCGTGCAGACGAGTTTGCGGCCGCCGAGGGCAGGATATATGTTTTTGGGTAACCTGGGACCGTTTTTCCGCTCGTCGTCGAGATCTTCTTTGATTCTGGCCTCGTGTCTCGACTCGAAGGTGTCCGGTGTGAAATGCGCCGTGTCCGACCCCAAATTGAAAAGGATGGTACAGTCGAGATTTAAGACGGGCGTAAAGGTAAAGTCCTCTCGAGGCAGTAACCTCAGTAAAATATCCTCTAGTGGAGGCTCATCAGGCTCCGGCAATAGCACATCGGGCCCGCATTGAACTGTAAGGGTGACATTATGCCTCTTGCCCAGACCACGGATGATGTTGATGAGGGAGTCAATGTGATTGTCTTGGCCTTCTACAACTCTGGGAAGAACCACTCGAACACGCGGTGTCCGGTAATAGTAGCGCCCAGCACGCGAGACTGATGCGGCGGCGATGAGATCCCGAATCATCTCCAATGCCTCCATCCCCGAGTCCTCCCGATCGATAATCTCAATACCGGGTTCACCCTCCCCGGCGTCCCAGTCCCATCCGGCATTGGTCATTTGGAAAACAAGGCGTCTTGGATCCGCCGTTATGACTTTGATCCATTCGGCGCCATTATCCACCATGGCATCCACTTTTGTGAGATTGCGCTTCGTACCTTCGCGCACGGGCTTGTGAGACACTGGTACTTCGACCTCGCGTAACGCAGAGATCAGCCCTCGTTGCTTCTTGATAATTGTCCAAAGAATATCATAAAACGTAATATTTAAGCAAGAAAGCCTTGTAAACGCACGACTCCTCTCCAGGTCATCTTCAGCACCCTTGAACCCCTCGAGGTACTTCTCAGCGCCGGCTTTTTCCCGCTTCAGCTGGCGCGTGAGGTTGCCGAGAAGGATTTTGGGCTTGACCAGGCGCAGGCTATGTGGCTTCTCGACATTCTCGTTAACTGTCGCGTGGAGCTCTAGCAGGCTGGAAACTTCGGAAAGGATCTTGTCCGATACGGCGATAGCGTCATGCGCGAGTTTCTCAGCTAGTTTGCTCTTGTCGCCATCTGAGATCACTTTCGGAGCCTCGTAGGCTGGCGAGTCCGGTGGTGACGCCGTACAGCGTGATGGAGAGTCCTCGCCCGAGGTGGAAGTCATCGCATGGGCGGGAGAGTGGCCGCCTTTCCTTTCTGAGAGAATCGGGACTACTTCAGAATAACAAGGTAAAGTCTGGGACAAAGAAGACATAAAACAATGTACACGAATGTAAACGAAAAGGAAAAGAAACCACCGAGTTAAGGAAATCAAGCTGAATAGATTGGCACCTAGAGCAGGATGGGCGAGCTTGGATGCTCATGGACACACGCAGAATAATGAATCATTCAATTGTTGTCCAATGTGGAGTGAACGAGTGTGTACATTAGGTAATGGCGCAGAACTCGGAATTTTCCATGAGCACCTGTCGTGGGTTGCTGCCGGCTGGCCATACGATTTTCTCCCTGCTTTGACTTACACACAAGGCCTTTGTGTGAGGGAAGACCTCCAATGTCAAGGACCAAGGCTCTTCTTGTGGTGACAACAATGGTCGAATTGTTCGTATTCTATTTTTATACCCGCTTCTTGTTTTAGATATTCGAGATACTATTTGTTTCTTGGTCTCGTCCAACCCTTTGTTGGTAAGTAAAAGCCTCTTGTTTCTCTGTCCAAAGCTATCCCGGACTGAAAGATATCAACGCCTCTCCCAAATGACAATGCAAATGTGTAATTATTGTGGGACCATCATGGCATTCAGCCTCTCTCTATATATACGGAAGAACGCCTCGTCTCTCTGGAACATTTCTGAACCTTCATCCTCATCTCCAGAGCAAACTCTCCTCTTGACAACAACTATCAATCCCTCAAAAGTAACCCGAAATTCCATTTCCCTCACCGATAAAATGTCCCAATCAAGCGGGGACGAAAGTCTTCAGATGTTTGAGAGCGCAATGGAAGCGCTTGAGCAGCATTCATTGATTGAACCCGAAGGTAACACCTCGATCCTGATAGGCGACGATGCTCCAGTCACCAATGAGCAATTACTCGATCGAATACACGATGCCATCACTCCCCAGGATATTCACTACGGCGCCATCCAGGCCGCGAGAAAGTTCCTGACTGATTTCAACACGGACGAAAACCACTGTTTCTTCAACGACCCGGGCAGCTTGGATGAGCGACGCAGATTCTTCAACCCGCCCGGGTGTCATATAAACGTGCCTCTCACGGCACATTGCAGCCCCGGCTACCCTTTTGATACCCAGGTCCGAGACTACGGCCTAGCCTTCTCTAGGATGCTTGTGGTGGAGGAAGCAGGGCTCGAGATGGCTCGAAGGGCCGATAACATCCGCGAGGAAATAAAATGGTGCCGAGATAGGGCCATTGAAGCAACCAATACTTATGAAAACCTTGCCAACAATGTCGCCGGTCGCTTGCGTCAAGCTGTTAGCAAAATGAAGGATTTCGAAAGTGCCGATGGCGAAATACCCGACACGGGCGACAACCAAGCAGAGATGTCGGAGATCCTAAGGCTGGTGGTAGATCAGTTGGCCACAGTTGGGCGGATTCACAGGTATATTGATACCCTCATTCGAAAGAATCATGCCCTGAAATCGAAGATGCGAGAGGTTAAACAGCAGGTCAAGATGTGGGAGCGGGAACGGAATGATGTGAACAGGCGAGCAGCGGAGTTGGTAATGCGAGCTCAAAACCTCAACCCTCAGATGTGAGAAGACTAAGGAATCAAGTCTGGGATATGATTTTGTTGGTGGCGAACGGAGAAGCTGGCGATGTTAAGTAGAGACAGGGGAGGCAGCTAGAGCTAGGGTAGAATACCACTTTGATTTTCTGTTCGCACCGAAATATAACTACACCTTTCCAGTTCATTCACGAAGGTCGGATTAGACGGTCTTGAGGCTGGCAGATTTGTGCCTGCCGTAATAAATGGCAGCCTTTACCTCAGTAGATTCCTAGATGCAGGGGCGAATTCCTGGCCGAATATATCTACGAGGCTACAGTTAGACATTTTGACCAGTCCGCCTGCACTCTTCGGCCCAACATCATACGGCTTGAGGGACATAGTAAGGCGACACATTGATGGCCTTTATGGCCCTCGCGAATCCTACCATAACAAATTCGGTCTTTTTCGAGATATAAGACTTTGGCGGAAAGCATGGTCGACTTGGCATCGTAAAATACGAGATCTCCACAGATGGCACGTTTCGGAACCGCAGCGCCAGTGGTGATTATTTGTAATCCAATCCAATACCAATGATGTCACTTCCGGAACTCTCACTGTGGTCGAGACATTATAAAACCCTCATCGAGGACTGATACGGGCCTTATTTGAACTTTCGTCTCTCTTCCGCCTGAAACAGCCCAAGCAATCCATTTTGCCGACCAAAACCCATTCCATAGACAACATCCTCTACCTCGGAGCGTCGAACAATCATGTCGCACCTCAAATATTACGCATACGATGGCGTTGGCCAGAGAAACAGGGCCAACTTCTATTACAGCCAGGCGGTCCGTGTAGGCGACCGAATTGAATGCGCAGGGCAGGGTACGTTTTCACCCACGAAGTGAACGAATAATGTTTCGAAACGCTCACCGGGCCCTAGGAGGTTGGGATCCTGCCACTGGCGAATTCTACAAGGAGACGAATGCCCAGATTGACCAGGCATTTAGGAACGTTGAATTGGCCCTGAAAAATGCCGGCGGAAAAGGCTGGTCGCAGGTGTACCGCGTCAATTCTTACCATATTCCGCTCAACAACGAGGCGCTGAAGGCTATGGTGAGGAATTTCAGGGAGTATATGCCTGACCATCAGCCGATCTGGACTTGTGTGGGCGTCACGCGTCTGGGCGAGGACGATATGAGAGTGGAGATTGAAGTGGTGGCTCACGATCCTGAAGGCGCGGCGAAGGAGACTGCATGATTATGGTGGTAATGGGCCGGTGGGGGAATAGATGAATAAAGTGTCGCGGAAGGATGTCCACGAAGGGTCATAGTTTTCCCATCGGATATCAAGCGGGATATGCTCTGACTGTCCATTTCTCCTATGCGTATGGAGTCCGCAGCGTTCGAGAGAGCAGAGTTTGCAAGTGACAGAGGCCAGATCGCAATATCTCCCGAAAAGTAAACCATAAATATTCAATAGGAAGATGGTCTAGTGACATTGTCGAAACGTTCATACTAACAAGGCTATTCTACCATATATCCCTGGTACTATTCCGATTGAAACCGTTTTCCAATCCCTCCAGCGCCCAGCAGCGCAAGATTGTCTGTCACTCCCGGAATCTCGTTCTGCACCCACTCATGACCACCCCTCCCACTCGCCAAAAGTCTTCCGAATCCACCCTGAGGTACCTCACCATTCGAGTCCTCCCATCCTTCGCCGAAGAGATAGAGCGGATCCATGGTGCCGATCGCGATGCTGATGTTCGGACCAGCCTCACGACGCCAATATAAAAACGTGCCGCATTGGTTGCAAAACCCGCGAGCGTTGCCTTCGGTGCAGTAGTAATTCTTCAAGCTATCGGTGGGCGTTGTCCATGTCACCGATGCGTAAGGAACCTTTTGATAGATGAAGAAGAGTGAGGAAGTGCTTTTGCGACACTGGGTGCATTGGCAGGTACCACTCTACTTCGCATGTTAGTGGCAGGAATCTCCACACACATTGCAGCTGGTCGGGTTTTCATCGCACATTTCTGACGAAGCTGTGGTTTTCGGGGAAGTCAATTCTGTAGCCAACCTTACCGCAAAGGCAGCTCCCCGCGATCTTTTTCGGTAGCGGTCCAAGGTCGGAGTTGGAGGCCATGGGGAATAAGGTGAGCGATGGCAGGATGTGCTGAAGTTGTTTCTATAAGTCAAGAGTTGACGTCGAGGTGGATTTATAGGCCGACCTGGTCTTTCACCGCTCAAGTCTGACTGTCCCTGGAAAGGCGTACAGAGGTTGCCAGTCGGCAGGAATTTTGCCCGGGCTTGTTGTAAACAGAATTGATCGATCCTCGCATCACCTTCCTTTTTTAGATTTTGGACGGTTCGTCAGACGAGATCGAGAACCGAATAGAATCAGGTCAGATAAGATATGTTCGATGTGTTATAGCTTAGTTCCCCGCCTATCTCCAGTAATGCAGAGAGCCTGTCATCTCAGGTTCTCAAAAGTGTTATACTCCGCTTATCTTTCAGTGGATGCCTATTTTGAAGACACAACTCCACAGCAGGCCATGCCGGTATATCTTGATACCACTCGAGGTCAGTATGGCAGACAAGCTTGTCTCCATTTATAATGCATACACCTGGAGCAGTTTCCTCGACAAAGCTAAACTAATGCGCTAGGCCTAAATCCTACCAGAAGGTAAAACCGATTCGATCCACGAAGTAAAGTACTGTGCCTAGGGTATGGCGAAGCACTCGGAATAATTCGAGTCAGTAGGTTGTCCAATACTATCTCCCACCAGCTCAGTCGCTGCCTTGGGTCCCTATGAGACGATAATCTGATACCTCGGTGTGGCTGCACAGAGAACATGCCCTTGCAGGAGGGTAAAATCATGTATCCCCCAAGGCCGTATGAAATATCGAGTAACGCCTCGTCTTAGAATGCAGATTCTGTCATCTCGGCACCAGATCGACAATGGGGACTCTCAAGCATATCACGTTGGTGGCTCTTCCTCCCAGTGGTCAAATTCACTAGTCCAGCGTCGACGTTTGGTATTGCTTAACTCCTTTGCCGTGATCACACGGTCCGTCTCCCCCACGACCCTCGATATCTTTGGACAAGGATAAGAGCGAAGATTCCCAACGCCACAGAGGAAAGCGATGCATATCTGGCGTTTATCGACCTTGTCACTGCCTAAAACTATGGGTCTAGTCCTCGAATTGTTAGTCAGCGTAGTACCAGGCACGGTCCGTTTATTCCGGCTCTCCGATAAGGTTAATGCTGTAGGACAAGGGTGGTGGGACGAGAAGGCCAGGGAGCCATGGCCCATGGGGCTTCCTGGCCTAAGGCCAACTCCTGGTGATTGTGATTCTTCAGCTTGATACAATTGTTGGTATCTGCTGCAGCTTTGCTCGACCATATTATCCCCAACCAATCCTCAGTTCTCACTATTCACTCTTGACTGCTTCAGTCGCTCCGCATATCAATGGAGCTAAATAGTTTACCCCCAGAGGTCTTAGGCCTGATCCTCGGACATCTCATCGCGCCAGACGACCCGGAAGGGGCGCCCAAAAAACTCAACTTTGAATCAATCTGCAATGCCCGGCTCGTATGCCGCACATGGAACAACGTCGCCAGCAGCCACCTGTTTAGGGATATCTCTCTCCGGAAAAACCCCGACGCCGAGGAGGGATTCACCCGATGGCACGAAATGGTCAACAACGCGGTGGTCCGGACGGCGGCCAAGCGCGTTACTGTACACAGCGTCATCGACAACGCTGAAGGCGACGAGGAAGATGTCTGGGATGACGAGTGCAATGCAAATTCCTTCACTCTTGCAGTCAGTCGCATTAACCAGCTGCCAAACGTCAGGACGCTGCAGCTGAGCTTTTTCTCCAAGTGCCGCGGCGTGGAGAATAATTTCTACTTTGAATATGAGATCGAACACATCCCCACGAGATTGAACACGCTCAGGGTTGTTTTTAGGTTCCTAAAGGAACGCGCCGCCGACCGGGAGAACAACCTCACCCCCATCCGATCCCTGGTTCTCCGAAACTTGCAAAACGCCCCGCTTGATGAGTTCTACTCCTCTGATCTCTTCAAGGACGTTATCAAGGAGATGAAACAGGTTCATCTGTTGATACTCGAGGAGTACGATGAGCCTGGACCAGACTATGATTTAGAGCGAATTGAGCGCAGAGAGTTTGAGCCGTACCTCCGAAAAACCATCCTTCCTTGCTTCTCTGATCAGCTTACCAGCCTAACCCTCTATTTCCATGAATGCTGGGGTGTATGTCCCGGCTACTTTGAAGGCAAGGGCCTTTACTTTCCGAACCTAAAGACTCTGTCGTTGGGCAACTATGTCATAGGTCACAACGACCAATTCGACTGGGTCCTGTCTCATGCCTCTCTTACCTCCCTTCGGCTGGACATGTGCTTCATCGTGTCCCACATGGCATTTCACGGATATTGCTTCAAGAGATGGGCAGTACCAACGCATGACTGGACCTCCCTCCCGCCCGGTTCGTACGGCTTCGTAATGGAAGAACCGTATCACCCCCGCTCCGTCTTCACCTACGATGGAACTTGGGAAAAGGTCTTCGACGGAATACGCACGAACCTGTGCAGCCTTACGGACTTCCGCTTCGACTGTAGTAAGCGATACGACCTACAATTTTGCGAGCCCGAGAATTTGGGGACTACCCTCTTTCCCGGTCGCTACATCACGTTCGATAACGGCCTTCTCCCTAGCCCGTGGATCGAGGCCGACTTTGAAACTGGCGATCTAGAGTTTGGGAACAATGACCCAACTCCTATGTCCCGGGAGGACAGTGACGATCCCCATTCGGTGCTCCCCAGGTTGAATCGTGCGCAGGAGACGGAGGAGGGCGACCGTAGGGCTTTCGAGACTCTCGTACAGGCTGTTCGCGATAGGTGGTAGAAATGTGTTAGTGTTTCAACTTCTGCTCATTCTGACGTTGCAACACGCATTTCCCCCGAGTCCCCCAATTTTATCCCAGCCCGCCCACTTGCGCATATAGATGAGAAAGTGTTAAGATGTCAAAACACAGAAACACCTGTCGACATAATAAGAAGCCGCGTCATGCCTTGATGAGCTCCATAGCCGTGCCGGATACAAACAGGCAAACACCGGCTGAACTCGCGCGTCATAAAACCACGGATAAACTTAAATCATCGCCGAAAGAAGAAACTCGGAGCTTTTACACTCTCTTTCTAAAGTCGCCCAGAGTAGAATTCTTGAATTCCTTACTTGAGCGACCATGATGGGCTTCGGGAGGACGCTTGGCTGCTTGCTTGCTTTAGTGACGGCTGCAGCTGCCCAAGCTGCTGGATGTAAGCCCATTCGCGGCGATGAGAAATGGCCGTCGGAAGAACTCTGGAGCTCGTTGAATGAGACTGTTGGCGGACGTCTGATCGCGACCATTCCCGTCGGGAGTATTTGTCATTCTGGGGGTCCTCATGACGGGCATTACGACGCAGTGGGATGCGCCGCTCTTCAATACACGTGGAACTTTGCGCAAGCCCAGTAAGTCGAGTATTATCACTTTCGGGTATCGATCAAGGATTAACAATACATCTCAGTTTCCCGTTTCCGGGCGAGGTCAGCTGGCCTTTTGCTCAAGGTTGTGATCCGTATCCTCCGATTGAGAAGCCTTGCGAATTGGGCAAGTATGTCAGTTACTCTATCAATGTTACCGGAGCAGACGATGTTGTTGCCGGAATCAAATTTGCCAAGGCAAACAACATTCGGCTGGTGATAAAGAATACCGGGCACGAGTGGGTCTCGCGGCTTTTGTCTTCGATGGCATACCCAAACTGATGATACTTCTTCTCAAGTTATCTCGGAAAGTCCACGGGCAAAGGTGGCTTAGCGCTTTGGACGCACAGCCTCAAATCTACCAAGGTCATTGAGGACTACGAGTCCGAGTATTACAACGGCCCAGCACTGAAACTTGGCGCGGGAGTCCAGGGATGGGAAGCATATACTACCGCGAGTGATCACGGATACATGGTCGTTGGAGGCACCTGTCCAACCGTGGGTATTGCAGGTGGCTACACGATGGGCGGGGGCCACTCTACGCTCAGCAGTCTTTACGGGCTTGGTGCCGACAATGTCTTGGAATGGGAGGTCGCCACGGCGGAAGGAGAGCATCTCATTGCTACTCCCACGGAAAACCGAGATCTTTACTGGGCTCTGAGTGGAGGTGGAGGAGGCACTTACGGCGTCGTACTCAGCATGACTACGAGACTCCATAAAGACGGGCCCGTCGGCGGAGCTCACCTACAGTTTGACGACTCAGAGATTGGGCAAGACGCTTACTGGGAGGCAATTGGGGCATTCCAAAGCTTACTCCCACCCATCCTGGCACAAGACACTTCACTGCTCTACTCCGTCTACAACGACTCGTTCAGCATCTTCAGTTTGACTGCCGCGGGAAAGTCGACTACCGAGGTCATTGCTCTCCTACAACCCATCTTCGATGAACTCGACAAACGCGGCGTGCCTTTTGCCTTCCAAGCTCGTGAATCCCCGCGATTTCTCGACCACTTCGTCGGAGACTTCGGTCCATTGCCCTACGGCATCTTCAGCGCCGGCCAAGTCACATCCAGCCGTCTCATCCCCCGCACCGTGGTAGAGGACCCCGAAGCCAACGCTGCCGTGACGCAAGCTCTTCGAGACGGCACCGCGAGCGGCGATTTCTTCTTTGCCTGTCAAGCCCTCGACGTGAGCGGGAACGTGTCAGTCGCGGCGAATGCCGTTCTTCCGGCTTGGAGAGAAGCAGTCTCTCACTGTATCGTGGTCGGATTATGGGATTTCGATGCGCCGAGGGCGAAGATGGACGCCATGGCTGATGTGTTGACGGACACGATCTCGCCGCAGCTGGAAGAGGCGACGCCCGGTTCCGGAACGTATCTGAATGAGGCTAATTTCAGACAGCAGGATTTCCAGGAGCACTTTTATGGGGCGAATTATGAGAGGTTGTTGGAGATTAAGGAGAAGTATGATCCGGAGAGTCTGTTTTATGCGGTTACTGCTGTCGGAAGCGAGGTTTATGAAGAGGATGAAGACGGTCGGCTTTGCAGAGTTGAAACATAATTATCAAGCGTTCGAGAAGTGATTGGCTCTCGAAACGGACTCGACAGTATTCAGTCGCGAGGCTATCAGTATTCATCATTACGGATCCACCATTTCACGATTGCCCGAGATGATAACCTCGTTGTGGTTTTTAGAACGAGGCTCGTGTTGTGAAGTAACAGGCTATGTAGGAGTACAGTTGGGACCGGAATTTCCGGGCGCGTCAGGTCGATGGATAAACCAATAAGCATGAGCAGAGAAATCTCTCCTGCATTCTGGAATCGGCATCTGACGGCGCGTGACGACTGGGAGTCTGACACACAGGGGACCGCCGTCAACCACAAGGAATGGCGTTGATGGTGCTGATTGCATCTTCCTGCAGGATTGGCTTCGTTGACAGAAATCAGCCAGTCGATGGCTCAGTGGCGGTGGCGATGATGCGAGTCTGGCCAGGCTGTGCCCTCGATGCGCTGCTCCTGTGTTGCCGGGGTACCTAGGTACCTACGGTTTGGAATGTTCTAGGTTCGAATATCACATGACCACATCCTCGAAAAGACCCTGAGCCTCGAACCCACCACCCATCCTACTCACCTCCTTCCAGAATGATTGCGGCCGCTGCGAAGGCTTCTTGGGCCCATTTCTCCTATCTACCAAGACCACCAAAGAGCTGACGATTTTCTAGATGGCCATGTCCAGACAAACCCTGCAGGGCGCCGAAAGGAGAATTTGGGAGCTTCCGAACCCTCCAGAATGTAGCCTCGTGATGCCAGACGGATCCGCGAGGCTCGCAGAGTCCGCCGAGGAAATTGTCGAGTCCCTTAACCACTTTGCCAAACAACACGGCTACGCTGTAGTTCGCCACCACGCCAACACCCCAATTGCCGACCCAAATAACCCCGGCAAATTTATCAACACTCGGTATACAATCCGTTGTGACCGGGGTGGCCACCAACGGGTTTCTAGGGGTCAGGGTCTTAGATCCGTTGCGTCACGCAAAACTGGCTGTCTCTGGAGAGGAACTGCTAAAGCTTCTGCGAAGGACAACTATAAGTGGTCCTGGAAGCTCAGCAGTGAGCCTCACGAGAGAGTACACAATCATCCGCCGTCGTTTGACCCATCAGCACACCCATCACATCGCAGATGGAGTTCCCAGCAGAAAGAGATGGTGGCAGACCTCACCAAGCTGAACACACGCCCTAGGGAGATTCTGAAGCGTTTACAACAAGTATACCCCCAGAGCGTTTTTACGATCCAAGATGTGTATAATGAACGAGCCCGTATCCGCAGAGGGGACAAGGGCTGTACGACGCCTCCTCAACTACCTGTTATGCCTGCGTCCGACGCAGCGACTCCGGTACCAAACGACAAGCCTCAAGCCTCAGCTTATAACAGTCGAAGTGCCATTGAGAAGTCCTCTACGCTACATGAGTCAGAGTCTGCTGCGATCCGGCCAAGGAAGAGGTCAATATCCGAAGATGATGCGTCCTTCTCAAAGGTGTCAGATCTTTCAAAAAAGAAGACTAGGCCACGTACAGACGATGTCAGCAGTGATTATATTCTCGGGACAACTTTCGCTAGAGGCGGTTTCGGGATGGTTTGTGAGGCTACACACCGGAGCATGGATAATTCCGAGAAGATATACGCTTGCAAACGGTTGCTACTCGCCAAAATAAATATCACCAAAATCAACCAAGAAGTCGCCCTGATCCGGAAATCGCGCCACCACCATGTTGTGAGTGTCATTGACGCATTCGCCGATAACGAATGGTACAATATTATACTGGAACCACGGGCAGAGTGCAATCTAGCTGACTACCTACAAGCTATGGAGCAGCGATTTTTCGATTTTCGGAACTGGCAAGACTTGCAGTGGGAAGATTTCGAAACCAAGGCGTCTAGGCTACTTCGGTGGATGTATTGTTTGGCCAGCACGGTTCAACATATTCATGGACTTTGCATCCGTCATCGCGACATAAAGCCAGATAACATCCTCATCCACAGAGAAAACATCCTCTTCACAGACTTTGGAACGTCGTTTTACTGCGAAGAGAACACACGGTACGCCACCACCAACACGCCCGGGACCGCGAAATATCTCCCTGTGGAGGCGGCGGATTGTCAGAGATTCGGTCGGAGTGGTGACATTTTCTCGCTCGGCTGCGTCTTTTTTGAGATTAGCGAAGCTCTGCTTAACCCCCTGCTCGTTGTTAAGCTCCCATGCTGCAAGGGAAATTATTACTCTACCCTAGTTGGCAGACCCGACTTCTGGAATGCGGTACACCAGGCCCGAGGGCATCCGAGGAACAAGAGGCGCCGTTGGAAGCACTTGGAATTCTCGGAATGTTTCCCGACAATGGTCTTACAGCTAAGCGAGAAGATGCTAAACGTAGAACCGACTTGCCGTCCAACGGCCAAGGAAGTTGTTAACTCCTTAACCAGGGTACTAGAGGAGGCTCATTCTCCAACACCCCCTTGCTGTACTCCTCTCTATGGGGTGCTGGATGCCTAGGGACGCTTTCTCGGTTACCTCCTGTCGAGGCTTGTGTTGACTCAAATGGGGTGGCGATAGATGAACTAGCTCCTGGTTTACGTACTGAGAGGACGGATCAAGTGGTAATTAGACTGTACGTTCAGTTCAAGCTGAAGAGATCTCTTCCCTTCAATGCATATTACACACCGTCGTTAAAATTATAGCACAGTCGACCTCTAATCTTCAGAATCAACATCGTTGCTGATAGACAACAGGGCGTCATGGCACGACAAAGCTAGCTTAATGGAAGGCTTTCACAAGTGACAAGGCCCTCCCGTCAGCCAGCCTAAACGCCGATAGAAAATTCATCCGTCCTTTACTCACTGGCACTTCCCTTATCATATATAGCGGAGTTTCCAAATCGCGCTCTCTCTTGTTACGATCCTAACACTGACTCTCGGTATATCAGGGTCGAGGTGGTTGTCTGTTAGTGGATAAGTAAGGCAGTCAAGCAGTATTCACAAAATATGGATAAGAAGTGCGGATCCGAGTGTAGGGGTGTAGTTGTACTTGAATTGACTACTGGAGAGTCTTGAAAGACAAACTAGATATATGGTAGAACCTGTAGTTTATATAGACGTTTCCTTTCGAAGCTCTTTAAGGTGATCGCTACCGGCCTTTTATAGTTTCAGATGATGACTCAGAGTACGAGTCTGAACCCACAGACCTATTGGGTGCATAGTGGAAATCATGTACTGTATATAACCGAAGAATGAAGCGTTTGTGTCTGAAAAGTAGATGCGGCCATCGAATAGGCAGCTGCCTCCGTGTACCAGCCCACCCACCATTCCGTGTCCCCCCCTCTGGACGAATGGCACGATCTCCTCGCGCACCAGGCGGGAAACGTCCCTTGCCGTCTTGTAGGCGTTTCCGAGGAACTCGGTGTGCGCAGGACGTCGATCTTGAACCCTTTGCTTTTGTAGTCAGCCTTTTCCGGGTATGGAATCTCCTTTTTCGGCGGCATTGCTTGAAGGGGGGTTCTACGGGAATGCCGAGGTTAGTCTTCCATATGGGACGGGAATCACCCCTCCACGGACACCCCCCCCCATCCCCCCTATGGAAAAGAGGCCTGTGATGCATACCGTATTCCGAACCAAAGAGTCGAAACTGATAGGGAAGTCTTAAAAGATGGGGATTCGTCGTTCGATTCCGACGCGGGACGTTTTACCATCTCCCCCCGAAGCAGAGGCGAGTAGAGGCATTTCTACCTATACTTAAGCCATGGAAAGTTGTGCTGCTCGTAAAATGTGACAAGTGCGTACTTGTGCGCGAACGGCAGGAAATCCTCGGTGATTTCCGACAGGCCGTTCGAGTTGATCTCGAGCAGCGGGAGGAACTTAGTGCCGGACCAGCCAGGTAGGGAGGTCATCATTTTGACAATCAGGAAGCTTGCGACAGCGGAGCCGCGGTGGGGGGTCCCGAAGAAGACCTGTTGGAGTGCGGTGGGAGAAAAGGAACGGGTCCCCGGTTGTCAGCCAAAGTAATCTTGTGCGGCATAGTTTACAAGTAGAAGGAACAGGATGGTCCTTACTATCCCCTGTGCTGCTTTGGCGATATTATCCCGAAACACGTCGTCTGTATTAGCCAACTCTATCGCCTAATACCGTTTGATCATTGTCGTTCGTTAGCGAAGTGCGAAGCCATGTTGTAGTGAACCGATGATGAAACGAAGAAAGATACACAATTTAGGTCTTTTCCCGCCCACCTTCTTGATAATGATTCCCCCCAGGCTGTGCCCGATGAAGACAATCGGGTCCGTTGACTCCTGAAACCTCCCATATCAGCACCATTGCCGTTGGAATAATAAAAAAAATTGGGAAGTCACTAATACCTCATCACGTTTGTCCCTGAGGGCTTTGAGAAGTGCCCCGGCGTGATCAGGCACCCCGTAGGCGGTCTGGCCGAAAAGCCTTGGGGTGTCGTATTGGAATGTTATGATGCGGGCCTGGGGCATTTTAACGGGCAACAAGTCACGCAGCCAGAAGCACTTGGTTGCCTGGTGTGTCCACGAGTTAACGCAGTGACCGCCCATGCCGTGGACGGCAACGATACTGTGATGTCGCGCGCCGGCGTCAGTTACTTTTCATCTCTTTCCTCTTATCAGGTGGAATCACGGCGTAATAACCTACTCGATGATCCCCTGGGTGCCTTCCGGGCGTTCATAAAGGACGTGAAGTCCGTCGACGCCACCTTTTGCAGTACTAAACTCTTCCATGGTTCTGAAGAATGAGATGACCTGTCAGTTTGATAGTCCAAGAGAGGAGGGTGCGAAAGCGGGATGCTCGTGGAAAAAAAAAGAAAAAAAAAAGATTGGTCGGCGCCTGCTCTGGGGGGTTGTCTTTGGTTTTAAGAGAGAAAGGAAGTCAGACAAAGATGAAAAAATTAGATCGCGTGGCTTTTGTTTAACAGCCGTTCTGGGAACTCGAGGCGTTCTACCTCCGTCGCTGAGGACTTTAGCCATTGCAGATGGGGTGTTTGAGTGAGTTGGGCGCAAAGTTGGGTAGGGATGAGTGAGTCAATGTCTGGATACTGAGCCAAGGGCCATGGGTATTTGGGCTCATGCCCTCTTTTTTGTCCTTTTTTTTTTTTTTTTTTTTTTTTTTTTTTTTTGCGAGAAGCGTGATACATTGTGAGGTTCTATTTGAGCTTTTGTCTCCTTGCACGCATGTCGTAGCGCAGCAGTCAATGTAACCCGGCCTCTACAGCCCATCCCATTGTTGGGCACGTCATTCCGAGGACGTTGGGCGATGCAGGCTGCCTGGATATGATAGAAACGGATGGTCTGGTAGCTTTTCGTCTGGGAGTAGTTGGCCTTAAGGGTCGTTCTGTCTCCGGGGTTCCATTTGCCGGGAGGAGTGTCTGTCTCATCTGTATTTGATAAGGAATATCCGCACTCCAATCGAAAGCGCGACCGACCCCCATTCTTTCTTTTGTAGTGCTCTCGCTCCTCCATTTCCCTCTAACACACCCTCCGAGACCACAAAACCAACCGTCTTCCACACTCAACAAACGACATCATGTCTCAGCGAGTGAGCCTTCAAGAGCTTCACGTCCCCACCGCGACTGGCAACGGTACTGGGGGCATTGAGTAAGTGCATGCTCGATACCGATACCAATAGTCAGGGGCCAGGGGTAGAAAGAAATACTAATGAAGCATCTTTTTTCCCTTTTCTAGTCTCGTTCTCGTCCACGGTGTCGACAGAGATCCTGTACGAACCTGGGAGAACAGGGGAGGGGACGCCAATTCCAAACCAGTACTATGGCCCAGGGACCTGCTCCCGTCGCTTTGGCCGAACATGAGGGTCTTGTCCTTTGGATACAACGGAGACATGTACCGCAACAACTCAGCCGCCCGAATCAGGGACAACGCCCTATCCCTGCTCACGTTCCTGTCGGTCAAGAGGCGTCGAGCGGGGCCAGAACGGCCCATCGTTTTCGTCGCCCATTGCCTAGGTAGACTCATTGTCAAGCAGGTTAGCGTAGTCGCCGATGGCTCGACGTTACGGATTGGCATTACCGACTTTTTACTGACTTAGCCCCTGTTTTCCTAGGCTCTATATAGCGGAATATCAGCATAGGTTCAATTCAATTGCTCAAGCAACAAAGGGTATTGTAAGTTGTCTCCCCGTCCGCACAGTCAACCCTGCCAACAACCTCTCTTGATACTGCGGCATAGACTGACACTGGCCACGCCGTTCCTTTCGCCTCTTCCCCCCGCCCCCCGACCAGATCTTCTTTGGCACGCCGCACGCCGGCACGGGCAAGAACAAAGACATGTGGGACCACATATCTCTCGCCTTCTCCGGCCTAGATAAGTCCTCGGGCAAGCGCTCTCCCCTCGCCGAGGCTCTAAAGCGCGACTCGGAATGCCTCGCCGATATCAACGCCAAGTTCCGCCAGCTCGCCCCCAACTACCACCTCGTCAGTCTGTACGAGATGCTGCCTTGGCCCGGCACCCATAGTCTCATTGTCGATTTGGCAGTCGCCCGGATGGATGTCGCTGACGAGCAGATTTTGCCAGTGGAGGCCGACCACGTCACGATGTGCCATTTCGAAAGTGCCGAAGATGGCAACTTCGAGTTCGTACATGATTGGATTGAGCAAGCAACGGGCATTAAGTCCACCGCCACCATCGCTAAAGCTACGCCTAGTCCCAAGAATAACGATACTAGTGAGGATATTAGTGAGAATACCAATGACAACGTAGTTGTCAAGGCCAGCAGAGACACCCGTGGACTGAAGGCAACGCAGGGGACGCTTGGCTCGCGACAAGGAGATACGCTCTTAGGAGAAGTGACCGTGACCGAGACTACTACGACCAAGCAACGTCAACTTCACATCAAGGTTGCAAGTCCTGTCGAAGGTCGGGTTACCGCTGCGAAGGGACCCGAGCGCCCGGCGTTGATGGGGGAAGAGGAAGCCTTGCCGTCTTCGCTACAGGATAACGTTAGGCAAGGGAGTACTAGGACACTCTTGACCCGGTGGTATGCGCACCATTAATCGCCCTTGTTGATTGCTTCGAATGGTTAAAGCCGAGGAAAGAATAGGCACCATCACACGTCATAATGAAGACGGACAGGTGCAGTGGGCTGGTAATGAAGACTCGATGATGGAACGGAGAAGTAACGGTATTATTGAATTGTAGTTAGCTGAAAGAGCTAGATTAATCGTTCGTTTCAATTATCCCCTTTCATAGCCTAGAAATAGTTCGGGCACTAGTAGCCACTCTCGAGGGCGTATGTTCACATAGAGTGGGCGGTGTCGTGATCCTTGTCGCTGTATTTGTCTGAATGCTGAGAATAATACTCTTTAATGGCTGACTACAGTACTGGTTCAACCAGACCTACCCGACCCAGATAGATGGGAATAAGTTATTTATGCAACGTCTCCAACAACTTTACCACCCATGTGGGAAAACACTCAGCTAATCGGCCACATCTCCATCGGCGTGCGAGAGCGCCATGGCCCGACGTACTTTTGCGACCTTGGTGGATCCTAATGGATCTTGATGGATGCTCCTCCAACGCAATACTCGGCCCCCCACTGCCTCCCTGTGGCAAGACACTTGTATCGGAGATAGGCAAGGCACCAGCGATCATAACTAGGAGTGGCGTCAACTGGAAGACGATTTAACCTAGGTCTCAGTGCGTTGGATCCCGAAAATAAGCTCAGAAACTCCTCGTACCACACTAAGCCCTTCCCGCTTGTCGCTTACCCATGCTCAAATTGAAGCGGGAACTACACAGATCCGATGATAACCATAAACATTCTCGATAATCAGATTGTGGATACATATACGCTGTTGACAACCCATATCTTGTCGATTTTTAATGGAGCTCGCGTGGCATTGAGAAAACATGGCTGAAGAACAACACATCAATCCCGCGATCACAGAAGCCGACTCGGCAGTGCGTTCAACGTTGAATATAGTTGTTGATACCATCCCGATGCTAACGGACGCACGCCATTGTTTAATGCCGGAAACGGTCCGCGGGCTGTGCGAGCAATGGTAAAGACCACCCCCCGCTGGAATCGGTCATTAATGTCAACCGTGGCTGTGCATGCGAAATTCTTCCCATCACTTTTCATTCGTCTCTCTATTGGTCAAGCTCACAGCTGGCTTATGCGTTCATGTTGGCGCTTGAAATCAAATCCCTTCACCAGGCTCCGAGCCTGCTCCCAAAACTCCATCTTCCCAATTGCAAGATCTAACTTCTCATGTGTCCAGGGCCCTCAAATAACTAGCCTCTATGAAGTCAGTTAAAAAATTGTTTAAACCCCAGGAAAAGGGGAAGCGCGCCATTCATAGCGATCCTCACGATGGCGGGTCTTCTGCAGCCGATTCCGCAAAAGAGCAGGACCCTGTCAGAGACACACTTTTTCCGGGCAGAGACACGAGGGGACTCAGGATCTTGCATACTCCTGAGGAATCCGTCATCGACATTATCTTCATCCACGGCCTGACGGGCGATTCGTTCCGTACGTGGCACCACAAGTCGGGCACCTACTGGCCAGTCGACCTGTTGCGAAAGGACATGTCAGACGCGAGAATTCTGACTTTCGGATACGATGCCGACGTCACAAAATTCTTGAGCAAGGACGGAAAGGTTGGTAATGGAAATCTTCGTACGCACGCCGCGACTCTCGTGGCCGAGGTCGGGGCGTTGCGAAGGGCAAATGATGCATTTCGGCCTATTATCCTCGTCACGCATAGTCTCGGAGGCCTGGTTTCTCAGAAAGCTCTCTGCATCTCTGCCGAGGCCCCAGAGGAGCACCACAAGCAGCTAGACCAATGTACTATTGGACTATTCTTCTTAGGGACACCTCACCGAGGCTCCGACCTGGCTGATTATGCGGTTGTCATCTCCAAAATCTTGGCGTTGGCAGATAGGCAGCTGAATAAAAGGACTTTAGGGGTTTTACGACCCGACTCCGAAGGTGGGTGAGATAATAGAAACCAACACGTTGGCTGCGCGGTTTCTGATGTTGTGTCTTTCAGTGCTGTCGGATATACGAGCCTCGTTTGGTATGTGGCTCCGAAGGAACCACGAGCGCTGTTCCGTCGTATGCTTCTTCGAGGAGCATAGTACACCCGGCGTTGGCTTCATTGTCGATAAAGTATCGGCCACCATCGAAGGATATCTACCAATACCGATACCCGCCGGTCATCGAGACATGCCCAAATTCGGCCAAAGCGAGGATGCGGGCTATCAGCGGATCGTCCAAAACCTCTCTCTTATGGTCGAAAGAATGAACGCGATGCCCAAAGACGACGAGCCTGAAGTGTTCGAGCAAGATATGGGTGGTATTAAGGCACGCGCACGCGAAAAACCTGGAAGTGACGGCTTGGATCAAGTAGACCGCTTTCTCGAGCTGCTAGCATTCTCCGACATGGGAGAACGCCAAGCCGGGATCGAGCACCCATCTGGACAAACGTGTAAATGGCTCCTTACCCATCCGATCTACGAAGGCTGGCATGAAAATGGCCGGTCCATCTTATGGTTGTTAGGTCACCCGGGGACGGGGAAATCTACGTTGACCAAATTTGCCGTGCAATCGTCATCGGAGACTGGGGAAACTTGCCACACCGCATTTTTCTTCTACGGCCTGGGGACGAAATTGCAGAGTTCAGCGGAAGGGTTTCTCAGATCAACAGTCCATCAGATTATCAGCCACTCTCCCAGCACATTCATCCAATATTTGGCATCGCGATCTAAAAGATGGAACCAAAGCCACAGCCCAGGAAATTGGCAGACTCCCGAACTTTTTGAACTGTTAGAGGGCGCGATATCTGTTGGGCTGAGCCACTTCCGTATCAGGGTATTCGTGGATGCTCTCGATGAATGCAAATCCTCTGAAGAGCGAGAACTTATCGTCGACAACCTACGGGAAATGGTCACTAGGTTCCAGTCGAGCAGTAATTCATTCAGTATCTGTGTCTCGTCACGGCATGTCCCGCGGTCCTGGCCTCTATCGGAAGGGCCACGCATTTGCCTCGAAAACGAGAACAGCCGAGATGTCGAAGAGTTTGTCCGGCAAGCGTTCGCCAAAGAGTCCGCCGGGATAGATGAGATAATAAAGTCACTCGAATCTGAGATTATCAAAGGCGCCAACGGAAGCTTCCAGTGGACCAAGCTCGTTACATCCAGAGCGGTTAGCATGTATCGAGACGGCGAGGGAGGGGATGCAATACGCGACATGATCGATTCTGTTCACGATAACCTCTCGGCCATTTATGAAGGGATCGTCAAGGCCCTCTTGGACCGATCGCCTTCTCTCTCTTATAGGTTGTTCAATTGGCTTTGTTTTGCTTTTAGTCCTCCTTCAATTCCCCAGCTCCGAGCTGCTCTGAACGCAAAGCCTTTACGACCTATTAATGACAATCTTGTCGGCCACTCCCCGGCCCTCATTGTAAGCGATGAGCAAATGGAACGGCTGCTTCCAACGATATCCGGTGGTTTGGTCGAGGTGAAAGGTATTGGAGTCTCTCTATCCAGAGAAATAAAGGTCATCACCCGTCCCCATCGTCCAGGGACTCGAGGGATATCCTCATTTAGGATAAAATCAAGTGGGACCTACAGGTACCTGGATTTGGTCATGCCAAGGAGAAGTGTGTTTCTCATCCATCAATCCGTCAAGGATTACATGGTTACTCGGGGCTTGTCGCTGTTTAACCACACACTCAGTTCTAGGGAATTGACCATTACCCATGGCCATGAGGAGTTACTGGCAGCATGCGTCCAGTGTTTCGCTGAAGATGCCCAGGAAACCCTAAGCAACATGACGGCCCGCGTTGGGGAATGGTCGCGATCTCTCGTCGGTCTTGAGATTCGGTCGAAATCCGTGTTGGAACTATTTTTCGAGGCAATGGAAGGTCCCGTTTTACGTATGATGAGCCGACCAGATCTTTGCTTAAATCTGTTCAATGGTGAAACGATCCAGGATGCGATCCATCAACTCCTGGGACTGGACGATGACTCGCCACCCCTGGACGATCCCTCAACAGCAACTAGTATGCAAGTACGCCATGACAAAAAAACTTGGAAATTGGATGCCTTTCTGAAGAGGAATCCTGAACTCACTTCCGTGGCGTGTCTCATCCTACAGATATTGGCGGCTATCCAAAGGTTGAATTTCGAGTTCCCTTTTTTCTTATATTGTACTGCCCATTTAGTGGATCACCTCTTTGAAGCAAAGGTGCAATCGAGCCATGATATTGCCTATCTTCGACGGCCTCTGAACTCGCTTGCCAGCTCACCGGCGCTTAAGGAATGTGTTTTGGACCCTGCGGCTTACGCGGCTACGCGATTTGAAGATTCAGTCCTTCTCTCGACGGTTCTATCGTTTTATCCGGAGTCCGATCTACCCTTAGCTCGTCAGGACGAATTCGGTCAAACGCTTCTCACAATAGCAGCGGGGAATGGTTATTTAAAAACGGTGCATTACATCCTAGAGCACTACCCGTCCACGGTTTCCGTCAACGATCCAGGCTTCCATGGGAGGTCAGCATTGTCGAGCGCCGCGGGAGGAGGACATCTCGAAATTATAGATGCACTCTTAGAGCATGGGGCTGACCTAGAGTTCCGAGATTACGGCTCTTGTACCGCTCTGCTTCTGGCCACTAATCAAGGCCATTTAAGCGTAGTCAAACGCTTGGTTGAGCGGGGAGCTGACTTGACCGCGCAGGATTGCGAGGGGTACACGGCGTTGACAAGGGCTTGCATAGGAGGTCATGAGGAGGTGGTGCGGTATCTCATTGAGAAGGGTGTGGACGTCAACGAACCCAACAACAATGGAGAGACCCCATTATACCTCTCCTGTCTTTGGGGCCATGAGGCCTTGGGATTATTCCTGGAATCTAGAGGGGCGATTTTAGGAGATGTGTCTCTGGATATCCTGGTCACTCAGCTGCATCAGGCGAGCCAGAAAGGAGACATATCTGCCCTCGATTTTATTCTTAAGATTGCCATTCCTTCTTGGCGGAAAACGCGAAAGGAGTCGGGTCTAGAAGAGGAACGGTATGCTATTATTAAGTTTCCAAGCTCCAGAAACCCTTTTCATGCGGCGTTGATCAGGGACGATCCCGAAGTGTTAAGAAGACTTTGCGATGAAATCCTCGCGGACGGGAATTCTGGGTTCAACACCAAAGTGGGATCAGGTGGGCGGTTACTTCGAATGGCCGTAACCGAGCTTGCCCCTAAGTGCATATCTCTACTCGTCAAACATTTCGGCCACGACATCAACGATAAAGATGCACTTGGGGACACCTTTCTCCATCGTTTAATACGTTTTGGCAGCCAAGACCGCGAAGACAAGGTTGCCGAGACCGCCGGAACTCTTCTAGAATGTGGCATAGACACGAGTGTCATCAACAGAAATGGGTTTTCGGCCTTGATGCTCGCCGCCGTTCTAGAATCCGACCTTTTTCCCCTGCTTGCCATGTCAGATAAGGTGGATCCCAATATTCAGACCGAACGAGGTACTACTCTATTGTATGCAGCAAGACTCGACGACGCTCGGTACGTCGAAATGCTCCTGGAACGAGAGGATATTCTCCCGGAGATCGGCCTACCCTCGGGGTTTTCCCCTTTGCACGCAGCGGCCTGTGAGGGACAAGACGAAATAGCAGAACTGCTGCTAGCCGACCGCAAGAGGGCAAAACGAGTCGCAGACTGCGAGGACCGAAATGGCGTTACGCCATTATCCGCAGCAGCGCGATCGGGCCATTTGACCATCGTCAAGATGCTCGTCGAGACAGGTCTCGTGGAAGTAGACCATCCCGATGCTAACGGACGCACGCCATTGTCTAATGCCGCTGAATGCGCCGCATGGAACGACAAAGCACTTCTCGACCAAATAAAGAATTGCGATTACGCTGGGATCATGGAATTTCTTTGCAACCAGGAGGGCGTGGATATTAACAGTCGGGATATTTCTGGGTGTACACCCCTCGACTGGGCATTCGAAAGTCTTTCTCGACGGAAACAGTCCGCGGGCCGCGTGAGCAATGGTAAAGACCACCCTCTGCTGGAATCGGTCAATACTAAAATAGTACGAGGTGAGACAAATGGTAGAGTCTCTCCGGGGCTAGAACTTCAGTCATTGAACTCTCGGTGTTTAGAACTTGAGCTCCGCAGCAGGACGGAAATCATAGGAATTCTCATCTCGCATGGTTCATTCCTTACACCTGGAGGCCCTCCGAGGTCAAACGAAAGAGGCTTTTGGGATGGCTGCAAATTAGAGAGTGACGACCATTTCTGGCCTGGAACCGAAAATGAAAGATCAGATTCGGATTTTCTTCCACCCTCTCCATCAGAATTCTCACTGTCTGACACCGAAAGCACAACTTCGAAAGCTCCACCAGAAGGTCCAGAACCGTCTTCTGTTGAAGAGGAGGATAATACTGACCCCTAGTCCTCTTTGATAGGTATGTCTGGAGGAGTGTTTTGAATATAAGTTACCAAGGTCTTCAGAACTGTTCGCCGTTGGAATCCGCCCTGCGCACTCAGCCCTGACACTCCTTTCATATTTCAGGCTGTTCAAGTTCTCTACGCAAATAACAGGACTCTTTTAACTATTGAAGTGGCTATTTCGCAAACCATCATCTCCAAGTAGCCAGGTAAACCCGAAATGCCAAAACCTGAAAAGGATGTCAAACATGATACAAGGAGATGAGAGCGTGGCCAATGGCGATGCCTTGGGTTAGAAAGATACGAATCTCGAATAAAAATCGGTGATTAACACCGGCGGTATTTACATGTCGTCCACTCCTTCATCTAGACCTGTCCATTCCCGGGTATTCTGCCGCCGAAACGACCAATCGTCAGCTCGAGTTCATGTACACACGATTAGGAGATTAAAGCGTATTCAAGTGCCGACATGCAGAGGCTGCTTAAATATATAATCAAATATTTGGCTTAATTTGTCGCTCTTTCAAAGCGGGGCGATCAGTGTGCTTCCCAGGAGTGTATAAACATGGGAAGCAAACCGGTTGGGTTTCCCGTGAACGCGCGAATCATCGAAGGCGACATCATCCTCTTATCCTCGTCCTACTCAGGTCCGACTTCAAAATCAAGGTGAACGAAGCTAAGATGGCTTGGCCGACCCGAATGCTTGTCGCGCTCGTCGCGCTGCTCGCTCAAGATGCATCCGCGCAGACCGGATCTGCTAGAGGGTCAGATTTCCTTCGGTTTGGCTGCTCTCAGCTTGTCGTCGAGCGTACTGACCCTCTGGTTAACCCCGGAATGATGCCAACGCCACATATGCATCAGGTCGTTGGAGGTGATTCCTTCAATATTACTGTATGTTCCTTGCCGCCATCATCCGCGGCCCATAAAATTGCCTAACCGCACCATCCTAGATGGATCCCAACACGATCGATCCGCCTGCGACATCCAGGTGCACATCCTGCAAAATGAGTGAGGATTTCAGTAACTACTGGACTGCTTCTATCTATTTCCGGTCCCCCGAGAATGGAACCTTCAAGCGAGTTCCGCAGATGGCGAATGGTCGCTTGAACGGCACATTACTGGAGCAGGAAGGAGGGTTGACTGTATACTACATGCGACCTTTCGGTGGCAGAAACAAGAAAACGACAGCTTTTCAACCCGTAAGTACAAACGATATAGACTCTCTACAAACTAAAAGCCAACACCTTCAAGGGCTTCCGGATGCTCACGGGCGACCCAATGCTCCGGACCAAGCCGGCCGGAAGCCTCACCAGATGCCACCGCTGCCTGGCGGCAAGTGAGCGCACAATGGGTGGTAGCGGCGCCCCTTGCGCATCAGGCGATACAGCGGAGTTCCCCAGAAAGCCGTGTCCCGGCGGTATACGCGCCACCGTTATCTTCCCTTCATGCTGGGATGGGAAGAACTTGGATAGCCCCGATCACATGAGCCATGTGGCGTTTCAGCCTGGCTCGGCACTCGCGGGCGACCAGTGCCCGAGCACCCACCCTGTTCGGATTCCCCAAGTCATGTATGAGATCATGTACGATACGTCAGGGTTCGCCAACCCCGAATACTACAAGGACGGATCGCAGCCTCTTGTATACAGCTTTGGCGATACGTAAGTGTTCTCTTCACCTGTGTGATTACTCACGGACTCCGAGGCTGACTTCAAACATAGTACTGGATACGGCCAGCATGGGGACTACCTCTTCGGTTGGGAGGGAGATGCTCTTCAACGTGCCATGGATGCCCTCGGAACCAACTGCTGGAGCGAGACCTGCCCAGCTATAAAATTGCAGTCTGGCGAGGATGCCATTAACTGTAGGAAGGGACAGCAATATATGGAAGACATCGGAGATGGCTGTGAGTATCGCTTCTCCGTTGCCATGGTATGTAGCTAACATCAGTGCTTCTAGGGCTTACCGAATTGCCTGGAGGTCCAGAAGTACTTTGAGTTGAGACAACACCCGACAGGGTGGGTTCCGGTGTGTAGACGTAACTTTTGATCGGCTTCTCGACCACCTTTCTGCCTGGGATTTCTATGTCAGTTGATGGATCGGCATCCCTTCCTGGACAAGAGGCTGTAACTGTCGTTACCTTTTGTACTGCTCAGTCGGCTATCTCATGCGCTGAATAGTGACTAGGGGACTGGTTTAGTGGACAATGTCATCTACGTCGCAGATGCGGCGGTGCCGCTTTGGGTTAGGGTCCACTTACTTTATTACTTACCTTTTCTTTTCTGAAAGCGCCGTGCCGTGCCCTGTAGTATTGCGCTATATGCATCTCGATTCGAGGCATCCGGGGTTTACGTACATCTTGTAATATGCCCCCAATCTGCTCATCTCCTTGGCTTCGGACTCACGTGACCCAGCTCAGCTTTTGCTCAGGCTAGATCAGGCCCGGCTCAGCTTCGGCTCAACTGGCTCCAGCATCTCGCTCGAACTTGCCAACTCTGATCGAGGGCCTAAAAAGTGTCTCCAACAAAGGGTCCCAGAACTTGGGTACCACAATTCCGCAACGTCAACCATGAGAGCTTAGAGGCGCTCATCATCCTCCCAACCGGACTTTTTAGGGTGGCCCCCGATGAAAAGCTATTTTATTAAGAATGGAGCAAATTCTGGAGGCCACAATATTACACGATCATGATGTTGGCGCTATCACGTGACGTTACTGCCTCCAAGCCCCTTGCGCCCTGCCTCCTGCCTGAGCTGCCTCGAGTTCGCCTCGCATAAGCACACTATCGGGTGTTGACCCATCCACATCTCTTCTACTCACTCTCAACTACGATATAAGCAAAAACAAATCCTATAACTATAATCTGGCGTCAAAACCATGACCGTAATAACATCCTCCTCGCCATTCAACTCGCCTAGCGAATTGCGACTAACGTACTCCGTCTCTGACACAGACGAGGGCGAACCGTTTCAAGTGCTCGACAAATGTGCGGCCGCCGGCAATCAGAATTGCAACCTATGTGCCCGTTGCTCTCAGCTAGATCTTGGACAAATGTTTTCCCGTGCCGAAGAGTACTTTTCATCTCACTGGGATCTCATTTTGGGCCTCCGAGAATGGCGCGATCCTCGGCAGAAATTTCTAGGATTCCCGATGTCGAACCGATGCTGGGTAGCCGGCTCTGATTATTGTCCAATTCTCCCTTGCCGACTCTGCCAGCTATTCTGGCATGCCAGGCTGGAGGAAAGCCCATCCGGGCTATACAAACTTCTCGCCTTCCCGATTTTCTGGGCATTGAAGTATGTTAATCTCGACCCGTCCATCTTTGCGAAACAGGACCGAGCGAATCAACCCGGTGTTTTGGTGGTTTCACCTGTAGAGGTTCAATTTCCTGCCCTGTCTCGGTATTTCAGTCAAGATCGGTGTGTCTTTCTGCATCAGCAGACGAGTCCCAACGGAATATCGACCATGCCAGTTACAGCAAGCGTAGATTTCCACAAAATTCGTGGATGGCTCAACTTTTGCTCCGAGCATCATGCCGAAAGGTGTCACAAAGGAGCAGGCTCTCACCCGACGCTTACTGGCTTCAAGCTAATCGACTGCGAGTCAGGTCGTGTAGTTGATGCGTCATCGCGAGAAAAATACGCTGCCTTGAGCTACGTTTGGGGACAAACGCAGAGGGGCCCGCAGTTTTCCCAAGTTGTTCAGGATGCTATACGAGTTTCGCAAGAGTTGGGATACACATACTTGTGGGTTGACCAGTATTGCATCAACCAAGAGGATGCCCAAGAGAAACACGCGCAGATATTGCAGATGGATCAAGTATATTCATCTGCACAAGTCACCATCGTAGCAGCCTCGGGTCGTGATGCCACGTACGGTCTCTCAGGTGTTAGTCGATGCCGAGGCACGACGCCTAGTTACGAGGCATTTGGGCTCAAGTTGGCAACCCTTCCCGAGGATGCTCACACGACAATACAAAGATCAACGTGGTGGTCACGGGCCTGGACATACCAAGAGGGAGTGCTATCTCGACGCCGGCTGGTGTTCACGGAATCTCAAGTCTACTTTGAGTGCAGCGGGATGGTGTGTCACGAGACTCTTGACCTCGACCTTCCCATACTTCACCAGCCATCCAAGTCCCGATACCAACGACGATACATCAGAGCTGGCCTGTTCGGCGGAAATGAGGACAGCAAACAGCATCCTTTCTCGCCAAGAAGGACCTCGGGGCAGTACAACAGCCTTCGGGTACATGTCCGAAACTATGCCGGACGTAGTTTAACCATGGAGGCAGATGGGGTGGACGCGTTCCAGGGGATTTTGAACCAACACACAAACCTACGCTTCATTTACGGTCTCCCTATCCCGACACAATTCTCGCTGGACGACTTCCAAGTCCATTTTGGATGTTCGCTCTTAATGTGGTGGCATCAAGTACCTGTCGGCACTGCCTCCTCCTTCCCCACTCGTCGCTCGAGTTTCCCGTCCTGGTCGTGGGTTGGCTGGCAAGGAAAGATAGATAATAGGGCGCCTTTGCTCCAGAGCCTCCAGGAGAATTGGATATCCGGCGAGAAAACTAGATTCCCACGAAACTCGACACAGTACTACTTCCGTGCATCCAATCACGGCCGGTCGGCCCGTCGACGTCAGCGACAACTACCCTTGGATCTTTCAAGGGATGAGGAATTGGCCGCATCTGACTGGTCATCCAGGATTAGCCCAAAACTCATGATTGTTGGCTGCCCTCTCCTGGTCGACTTTGGTGATTACGGATTCCAAATGTCGGCGGACGTGAATTTTTCGAACCACGTTCTCCTCAGCCGCCGATATGGGACTGGATTAACGACTATTTTCGAGATCTGGCTGTCGGTGCCGTATGATCTGATTGACCTGAAGCGAAACCTTCTAAGTCGATCAGTTTCAGCGGTCAGGTTGATTGATTGGCACTTCGCGGACGCGTACTCGCTGGTTTTGGAGAGATGTGGAAAAAATTGGAGGCGAATTGGCGTTTGTTTGAGTGTAAGGTTATCAAGCCGTGGCCGGAACGAAAGTGTCTGGATGGAGGACCCATTCGGTACCAGGCAAGAGGAATACGAAGTCTTGTAGGCTGTGGAACGAGCCTACATTTTCTCTACCGTTATTAAAGGCGACCACGCAAATCTATACCCTTCTCTTATTAGGAATATATATAGGATATACACGGTCTCCCGAGTCCTAAACCCATTTCTCGTTTTTCATTGTCTCATCTGCTTTTTATCCTTCCTGTTGGTATACTCGTTTCTTAGAATATGGTGTATTCAAGCTCTTTTGTCGGCGTTTTGTCCGACAGAAGGAACCCTCCTGAAGCTGGACGCATTCGTTTCTGGCAGGTTGACCAGTGCTCTGGCTTCCATGTCTCTGTCACGCGGGCTTTTGGTCGAAGGAGTTCAGAACCACAATCGCAGCGAAATCACTCTAGAATCGAGCTTAGGAAGTGTTTTTGACGAAGAGCAAAACCATGCCCTGTTCTCTTTTCTCGTCCTGCTAGCGATTTTTATCAGTCCTGTTAATGACTAAGCCCCTGTAGCCAATCTGCCTCGATCCCCGCCTGCCAGCTCTCTGCGAGTTCCTAGCGTGTCCTGAACGCGCCTGACAGTCTCCAGGTCCAGCTTCATCTGTGCCGTCTCCATCAGTCTAGACTTTCATGATGATACATCGCTAGGTTGGCAATACAGATATCAAGGACTAGAATTTGAAATAGCACATGATATCACAGTACATGACATATCCAGTGCATATACATTCTCGTGTACAGTATATCTCAAAATACTACCTGTCCCAGAACACTCCGTAGCCAGTACATTGCACGTCCTAGATCATGGCATATCCTAGCACATACGTAGCCCAGCATACGCCAGAGCCCAGAACACTGCATATCTCAGTATACGCATAGCTCAGCATATAGCAGAGCACAGAATCCTGCATACTTCAGTATAGGATCCCAAAAGAAGAGCTATCCGCCTACGGACGGACGGTATAGTAACTGTACTGGAAATATTTTACGGGTCATATACTCTCAATGCGAGCGATAGAATCCAGCTTACCTTGCTCACCCCTGCTCAGGATAAAGAGGGAGTTGCTCAGGTCCGAGAAAGGAAAAGGAAATAGTTGAAGATCAGATTAGGGACCTGTATTGAGATGTAATAGGGAAATGGTGTTTCTAGGTTCTGATTTACAACGTAAGATCTGTCGTCCGCTAGGGCTCCCCATTAGAAGGCCATCGCCGATTATATAACCTTTAGAAGCCGTTAAAATAGTATCCTTAAGTATACTCTTTCTTCTATAAGGCGTTAGGGATGGGGGAGTTTCAACTCCATGAAGTAGTCTCTGATCGGATATAAGGAATCAAAGTTAGCAAGGCAGAAGTATAAGTCGCGAGACCTCCGATCTTAAGAGTACGAACCCAATGCAATGATCCCTGTAGGTCTATAATATCTCTAATATGCCCCTATTTCTATCATAAACATTTTCACGGGAACGCTAGTCCTCGTGGCTGTCACACTTTATCAACGCCAGAAGTTATAGTGGCAAAATTGCCCATTACCAAAATCAAAATAAGACGTAAGAGATAATAGCTCCTGCCCGAATATGTAGATAGATAATATAACCTTTCCTCACTTTTGAGATAAGATATTCCGGACCTTCCAGACCACTTCTTCCGAGCGTCAACCAATAATCGTCTCAGTAGACACCGCCGAAGACGCTCCGCAAAATCACTTACGGCACCCAACTTTTTGTTCCTACGCCACTTTCACAGCGCCCTGCTAAGCTCCGTTTTGTCCCTAACTCCCACTAGAGATGTCGTCATTGGGGCGATTTCACCATGTCGTGCGCGAGGATGTGTCTGAGGGCCGAGTGCAGTACTTCAGTAGGATATGTAGGGCGATCTGCATAGCGCCAGGCAATATGGCGGTCTGGTCGGACTAGAAGAGCGCCGCGGTCACCGACCTCACGTTGCGC